TATAGTTTTGCGGGTTTGATTTTATTACACGATGTTATTTATTTCTTCACCGTGGAAGTCAAACGTGAACATTTGTTAAGTACATATTTCATTAGAAAAATTGGTACCTATAATATACGAATGCAGCGGACGTCTTATCCTTTAGGCCACGACGACTACTATAAATGTGTATATGAATATACATATGTGTGTTCCTTTTTTCTTTTTCTCAAATAGTAATGCATCTATCACAGGACTATTTACACCAGCCTTGGTTGATAATGCCTTAGGCATTAAGTCTGAGAATAGTTAATGTGAACACGAATGGTATCAGCAACTATCATAATATATTCTGGTCTATTTCTAATAAATCTTCGAGGGTATTTGACAAAAACCTGATTCCCTCTAACTACATTTCCAAGATAAGCTTGCCAATATACAAGTTCTGAACAACAACATTTGGACCGTAGGCCTACCGAGCAAAAACAGGTCAGTGGAAGAACTTCTCTTTGTCATCTCTTCCCAAACTAAGTTTGTACCGTTTTGCGTTCGGCTTACAGTAACATGTAATGTACTCGAAATAGGGATTCAGTTTACGAAAACACTTAAATAATAATAAAAAAAATAGTGTCGAGGCGATTTTATGGTAGGCAGCGGCTTGGCTCTGCCCCTGGCATTGCTGACGTCCATGAGCGACGGTGACCACTTACCATCAGGTGGGCCGTATGCTCGTCTACCTACAATGGCAATAAAAAAATAAAAAAAAGAGGCGAGGCAACACAACCGCTTAACTTACAGTCAGATTATGGCAACATTGTCATTGATAATGATTTCGTAATTCTATTATGTTGCTTACTCACAGCCCGAAATCCATCAAGATCGAAGAATGCAGTTCTAAGTATTGTTCATTTGGACTTAGTAAGTGAACTGTGTGAACTATTGTTGATAATTACGGTAGAAAAAAAAATTACTATTATGACATTTTATTTTATTTAGCTTCCTCATGCGATGAATAATTAATTAATCTCTATGAAATATGTATAAACGCAATTCATTTTGTTTCAAAGTAAACATCTGAATCGCGTCGTCTTTTTTTTTTAGAAAAACAAGCTTGCTTTCAAAACTTCAATATCTTGAAATTGCTTGATAACTAGGCACGAGGTGAATTTCGCCTCCACCTTTTAGTGAAACAGGGTTCTGAGAGGCGGGCTTTCACACTCGCTTTAGTCGAACCAAGTCAAGGGAACAACTTCTTTGGGTAGCTCGTTAGAAGGAACAAAGGCAGCGTAACATCAAACGCGCTATTTCTTTACGCTGCGATGACATATAATATCGGTTACCGAATTGGTTTCCGATTTTATTGTTACAGTAAACCCATCGACCGGTAAATGGTTCGAACTGCAAAGGTTTCATAAAATAATCTATTTCTGAATCTATGTTAAGTAAACAAGTTTTTGTTGGTTTTCAAAATTAAATAGTATTCGTATTGGTAAATCCTTAGATAAATATTGAAATTGCAATTAATATTCATACTTTGCACACAAATTCTGTGGTATGAAGAATAACACGCATTTGCATTCTATTTAGGTACAAAATAAGTTTACTAAATTATAGAGTACAGAAAAAACAGTCATAAGACTTAAGGCCTACTTAAACCAGTTTAATTGGGGACATGATCAAATCAAGAGTCTCACATCATGTTTAGATTTAAAATAGGCAGTAAGACAGTGAATGTTACACAACCTAATTTAATATATGTCCAAACAGTGTTCAAGTGACCTTCTTACTAATTTAAAAGCCGCTCGGCTCCATTGCGTCCGCCGAGAGGCATTGTGTCCGATCTGTTACGGTCTCGTTCGCGATCGCACGAACAGACCGGACATTCGAAATTTTCATGTTCACCAGTCACATTTCGTGATGGGAAACAACCAAAACTATGCAGTTTCGTGGGATTTTATTGCACGTATCGCTCATCGTTTTTTACCATGAAACATTTAAGGTGTTTACTGTAAATTGTGGTACAACGGTCAATTTGATTGTCGGTCGCGGCAATCGACAATTTCGTATGTAGAAGCGCTTCGCATCAAGCCGGGGCTGCCCGCGCCACGGTCCCGTTATCCGGATACCGCAACGTTCGCTTGTTATGCAACTGATGTGCCCCTCGTTTGCTATCGTCTCGACTCGTGAGTCCATCAGCCCCGACGTGCGATCGAATGCAGGCGGGGGGTCACTTGCGAAATACTTGACCAATTCAAATGTACTGTTCATTTTTCACGGTACTCAATAAAATTTGAGAGAAGTTGGATGTAAAATGTAAAATTTAAAAATATATTTATTCGTTTTTATACAACAATGAAAGCTTAAACCTAATTTAAGGATACGATTACGTACCTAAAGATAGCCAACTCTGCGTTTGGCAAAAACAGATCCATAGTCTTTTATTAGCATGTAAGATTTCCTACATACGGATCCCGTTGGCTTGCGTAGATAAATATCATAAATGATTTTTGTCATAAATTTTGTCAACTAATGATTTAATTGATTTGTGAGCATTTTGAATATTCATTCGACTTAAGATCTCAACATCACGTGGGAATCTCTGTTCTATAAAAAATATAGATGAGAATTTGATGCTTCTCTTGTGGTTTTCAGAGGTGGAAATATAATACATATATGGGTTTTTTCCTGCACATCAGGAATGCCGTCGTCCCCTTGAGACGAGAGAACAAAGTCGAAATTGTATAACGGTTTTCGCGATCAAGCACAACTTCAGTAATAAATAGCAACATTTATGTCTAGGGACTTGTTTAAAATAATTAAGAATCCTAGAGAACAAAACGCGCAACGATAACGCGGTAAAACTTAACGATTGTAAACAGAACGATATGAAATAAGAACATATCAAAGCGGTTCGATTAAATAGAAAACGAGAACATTCCATCGCGTAAAGCGAACTAATGCACGAACTAATCGTAGAGTGAGGGCACCCTCCTCGGTCTCAAGTTGCACCCGGATAGCTGCCAGATTATCGTCTCTGGGAGCAATTTGTAGGGATTTGCGGTCGACCTCCACGCCAGGTCAAGCGAACTCCCGTCATTAGACAGGGAGGTATTTTCGATAAAGTAAATCATTTTAGACAGCTCCGTTTAAGTTCTCATTAAAGATCAAAGCAGTTTATAACAAACTTCATCTCAGTCGCGTTTCATTAAAACGAAAAATATATAATAGAAATTTCAAAACTGTCCAATATTACTGCGTTCTAAATTTGTCTTAGGAATTGGTAGTACTAAATACGGTCCTTACGTATGTTGGTATTATAGTTCATTGATATTTGGATCAAATACTTTGTCATTCATCACAATATCTCGTAAGGTTTAATGTAATTTACCTTGGTAATATAAATCAATTATTAATGCATGCATATACGTGCAACGCGTAAGTTCAGACAGACATTTTTGAATGATGCAAGTATGCCAGTGTTAACATCCTGGAAGCCGGTACTAAAATTTCTGAGTGAATACGTACATAACACACGGGCGGCCAACACAATCAAGAAATAACATTGTGTAATCGTTTTCTGAATTTGCATATTTTAATTGTTGACGTTATGTCACATTCAAGGTTAGAAACCACCAATTCCGGTTTGTAACATGGGTCAGCCAATTTATGAGACTTAATTAAGACTTCTTTCACTCCCCCCCACCTAGATATTCGTAAATTAGGCTTACATTGTGAGATCATTCACTTATCAATGCAATAAAAAAAGCAGTGCTATTATAAAAAAAAAAGGCCAATGAGGTTAGTGTTCGTTTTAACTGTGGAACCACCTCTAGTTTGAAAATCATAATGTTTAGAGGCAACTATTACCACTTATTACACACTTAAATAATTTGAAATAGATCAAGTACATTTTCAAGCAACAAATTTGGAAATATTATATTTTATGTGTGAAAACAATTGAAAGTGCTGTTGAGTTACTAAAGTGTAGCCAAAATGTTTTGATGAGTCCTGAATTAAAAGGGTGCATAAATATTAATGAAATTTCACATATACTTAAGTAGAAAATTGTAAGAATTTCAGCAAGCATTTGCAAGTATTAACTGACGATCTGGTTAAGCATTTATGCGTACTTAGTACATTTCATTTGTGAATTCTAGTACACGATAAAATTTTTAGTCTTCATAGTAGAAACAACAATTCTAACTTGAAACGTTGATAACAAATGTGATTTAACAGTCAGGTACTTCAAATGGCATAAAATAGATTTTATCTTGCATACAAATACAAATAGTTAACAAGAGGTTTATAATAACTGCCATTTTTCATTGTGTCAAAACAAGGCCCTATTAGAGATAAATATTTTCTTATATTTCATATATCAAGTATTCAGATGATCAAGAAAATTTGATACATTAATCTGTATTGTTCTATCTAAAATAAAAATCTAAGTTTTTCCTGTATCCACAATGCTATTAGTTTTTGTGGACCACCTACATGGGGATTTTGAAAATATATTTCTACTATGTGATGTACTAGTGTTTTTTTATTCTTTACCTGTTTCATTGATGAATTAATAATTAATATTTTAGTTTGCCTATTTGGACACTATAGAGGTATTAATCACCATCTTGAAGATGATTCAAGTTAAATGAAATTTACAAATGTATCAAAAACCAATTCTCATACCAACAATTCATTACTGCAACATAATGGTACACAAGAATAAATTTTTATTTTAAAATATTGAGTTTGACTTGCTATTTAAGTGTATTATTTTAGTTTTCAAGCTATATTTTTATATATAATTATAATTAGAAGTTATCCATCGTTTTTTTTTATTTATTTACTCTTGAAAATTTAAATAGCCTAGTATGAACTTTTAAAAATTCAACTTGTGAAAGTCAAACATTCTTTTCTTAGAACATATTAAGTAGATTTTAATGAAAGTAAACACAGTCAAACGGTGTTAGACAGTGTAAGGTTGTAGCGTAGGCGCCAAATAGCAAGGTTTCTCCTCTCACCTTGTGGAGACGGCGGCGCGGGCTCCAGCGGTGTCGCCACCACGGACACCAGGTGCCCAACGGCCCATAACACCCCCCACATGTCCCATAACCACATCACAACACTCCACTATCTCATTGTTGGCACTAAATTCACATAACTTAACCAATACGAAATACAAACTACGCTAATAACTCCTCTTGGCACGATCATACTTTGGGAAGAATCATGTCGCAATACGACTGATTTTCACGATTGATTGCAGCTATCACATCATTGTAAAACAATTTAATTTAAAATAAAACGTTTGGAAACAAAGACAGTAACTGCACGTCATAACATTACTTCGACAAAGTAATACAACCCTCAACGAATACGTTCCGTTCAACACTGCACTTCACTACAGACGAACGACGAGTTCGCACTTCGCAATTTTCCATTCAGCATGATTAAGAGCCACAGACAGTATAATCTTTGGCAAACTCTGGCAATGGTGACGCTTTTCGCATTGTGTATTTTTCATCTAGCATGTTGCATCCTTGTTCCTCTATGTCAGAATGACAGTTGTATTCGTTCAAAAACAAGTGTTTTACCAAAATTTCATGTTACCACCCAATCTTCTTTTTAAGTACTTTTGTTTTGCAAAAACAAAAATTACGCGGTATAATATTGGGTAAGCTATTACGATTAAGTGTCATTACAAACTCTGCCATTTTATCTAGATAACATAATTTCATTTGTCGATCTCGTGGAAGTAAAAAATCTTCTGCAGGCAACCAATGACCATTAACGAACCTTGCAGGTTGCGAAAATATTCCTTTAAATTTTAATCCAAAAGTACCTGTTTGTAGGAATAATATTGATTAAGCAGAACATTAATCTCTATAGACATTTCATACAAGAATATTTCATAGAGGTTAACCTATAATAAAAGTACTTACTTGCTTATCGAGTACTAACCATTACACTTTATTCCTAAGTTTACAATTTGATCAGTCCTGACGTCAAATAACCAAACTTTGATTACATTCAATACTGCTAAGGCTTTGTTAATAGCAATCTGGTCTTTCGCTCTCTTTGCCTAAAAATAAAACATTTCAAGATTAACTCAATTCAATTCATACAAATCATTAAATTTGTTATCTAATGGAAACGACCAGTTAATAGTATATATATATATATAAACACCTGATTTCGAGACACCTTTTCCCACAAAGATTCATCTGATAACTTGAGATATTCCATAGTTCTCATTTCCGGTGTTAAGGTTCCAATTTTTAAAGAAGAATTTCTTACTTTATAATATCTTTTGTAAGGTTCAAAGCTGTTGTATTTGTGTACGGTGGTACATATATCTACCAAATGATTTATTCCAACAAAACCCCACACTGGTGGGCAATACATATTGCGTAAAGGTATTTCAGCAATTTCTGCAGCTACCGAAGATATTTCCAAGCCCAAATCAGATGTGGCGACTACGATGTTTCTATGATCAAGTATCGTTTTATCTATCAAAACAGTAGCATTGTAACAAGCAGGGCCAACATTTGGAAACATAACAAACATTTCTCGGGAAGCAGAAGTATTTATGATTAGCGCTATGTTTTGCATCTTCTTTTTATTCATCTTAAGCCATTCGCCCATGGGTAAATCATGGCTAAAAAAGCTTATATGGAAATTAATCCGAAAAACTATAAAACAAATTAAGTACCTACTATAATATAAACTAACACGTACTTGAATAAAACGTGATCAAGAATAATGAGTAAGTTGGTGTGTGTAAGAGCCATCCCAAGCTTCTCTACGTATTTTACAGTTTTACCCGAATTACATGTCATAATGTAGTTGCATTGTCTTTCAACTAACTCCATGTGTTCAGCAGAACAGTCCTTATCATAAATGTAAACTTTGGATAGTCCCAAATTGCTCATTTCCAAAAGACCCGACAATATATGGATTGCCAAAGGATTCGAAACTCCAGAAATTGTTATTACTATATTTTTGTGACATTTTTCATTAGGTTTCATTTCGGATGCTATGACTTTTGAAAATTCTGCTGTAGGCTTGCTGAAGGTCTCAACTTTTAGTTTTTCTTGGTATTGACCAAAATTTTTTACCAATCCACAAAACTTTGACGATGCCATAAAAGCATCGAAATTATAATACGAATAACAGTACTCTAGAAATTCTGAAGCTCCTCCGATATAAACGGGCTTACTACCTTTCATTAACATTTCTTTCCAAACAATAGGAGAGTTGATGTGGTGCCATTTATTTTTCTGGTTAATTTTACTTAACCAAGCCTATAGTTAAAATAGAAATGTTTTAGTGATTCTCTTCATTGGAAATCTTTTATGTTTTATAGTAACATTACGCGTATATTTTATTATTTACCTGCCATTCCAATACCGACTTTTTTATTTGTTCATAGCAAAAATTTGGGAGATTTTGGGATATATAATCAGCTACAAGGCATACTTGTGCAAACGTTTCACATTGTGATTCACCAGCTATTACGATTCGAATAACCATTTTTAGAAGGATCTTTTTATTGAAATACACGCTTGCTGTACTATTTTACTGATTTTTATTTATTTATTTCGTGTTAAAAGGTATTTATTTACACAATCTGAAATCGATAGGTAATTTACACATTCAGAGAAAGTACTATACACACGGCTATTTAATTGTTGATTTTTCTTCAACCTAAGTGACTTGTGTCATTTTATTTAACTTTCCAAGAAGGATTTATAGGTCATTTTCTAAGGAGTAGGTGGCTAAGGCCAACCAGAGTTCTCAAAATCAAAATGAAATAGAATTTGACTTCAAAATTATTATAACAGGATAGGCACTCAATAAAGCCCCGAAACACCAGATGGGAGTTCTGCCCTGTCCATTTCCGACAACTAACTGTTAATGCCAATAGAGTAAACCGATCTCTGAAATATTATAAAGCATTAGTGGAAGTTGGTGCGGACTCTTGTTTTCTCTATCTTCTTGTATGGAGCTGAGACATGGACGTTGGAAGCAGCAGACGAATGCGCATCGATGCTTTCGAAATGTGGTGTTGGAGACGCATGCTAAGAATTCCGTGGACAGCCTTCCGGACTAACGTGTCGATATTGAAGCAACTGGGCATCAAAATCAGACTGTCTACTGTATGTCTGAAGCGGATCCTCGAATATTTTGGTCACATTGCGAGGAAAGACGGCGATAACCTGGAAAAACTTATGATCACAGGGAAAGTTGAAGGCAACAGATCTAGAGGCCGCAACCCGACTCGTTGGTCCGATCAGATCCGCACCGCTTTGGACAGTACAGTGTACAGCGCGCTGCATGACGCCGTGGACAGGGGAAAGTGGAAAAACGTCTTAAGATTGAAGCTCATGGGTGATGGTGGTCACGACCCTCAGACATGAGGAACACGATTCGAGGAGGAGGAGTGGAAGTACTTATGCAACAAAACCATTGCGTGATATTACCTAAGATTTTCGCAACATAAGTCTACTTTTATGGTTTTAATGCTGTACTTTTTACTCTCACTTTAATAATTCCGATATTTCAAATACTTTACAGTTTTCGTGGTTAGGGAAGACTATGGTTTTATTAGTCTACATAATATGAATATTGTGCAGACGTTTTTTTACCTACATATGTTGGTAGCTTCGAGGGGTTATACCAGCTTCACCGAACGTGAAAGTGTGCTGACTAACGTCTAAAATAGATTCGAATTATAAAAACCAGAAAATAAGCTGTGAAGGGAGTTCGAATTGCATCGGATGTGTTTTTTTGGATTCTTACAAAAAGTCCACTGAATTATTAGTAAATTTCGTTTCATCTCGTTCGTCGATATCCTTATTTTCTTCTCAACTGCTTACTGTTTCAAATAAATAAATTGCATTCCGCTCTGTTCAACTTTCATATAAAATTATCTAAGTACAATGTAATAACGAAAGAACAAACTCGAAGCTGGCATCAATGGCATCGCAAGAAGCTGATTTTAGGACTTTTTGGCGGTAACGCGAGGAGTGAAGTTGTGTGATTTGTTTTATTTTGTCTATTTAGTGTTTCTTCAGGTTTAAATGTGTAATAATGGTGGTTTATTAACTGTTTATTTCATCCCATCATATCATCTCATCTCATTTCGTTTAATTTCATTCCAGTTGATTAATGTCTCAAATTAATCATCTTCATTTGAGTTTCATTTCACTCCATATTATAATTTTTTCATAAAAATAAGAATATAAATTAAAATAAGACATGACCTAAAAGTCTTAGATACCAGGACATAAAATCCATTAAAAAAACTTAAACATAGTAGGTAACTATTAAACTAATCTGTAATACAAACATATTATCTCGAATATCTTCTCAGTAAATGACCACCATTTTACTGCGATTATATTTCATCTCATATCATCTCATTTCATTAAATTTCATCCCAGTTGATTAATGTCTCAAATTAATCATCTTCATTTCATTTCACTCCATATTATCATTTTTCATAAAATTAAGAATATAAAGTAAAATAAGACATGACTTAAAGGACTTAGTTACCAGGTCATAAAATCTCTTAAAAAAAAATCTCGAATATCTATGCTTAATACAGATTATATCGAAGTAGTAACGTTGTATTTTGTAAATTTTGTAATAGCCCAAAATAAATTCTTTATTTAATTATTCTAACGAAAAATAAACTTATTATTATATTATGCGAAAAATGTGTGGTTATATTTTGAAATACATTGCTTTTTAAGCTCCTCGGCGTATAAAGTCAACTAACAACATATAAATCTGTAATTACCTCTTTACCTACAAAATTTTAGATTAGTAGTAAATTTGGTGGTTTATTCAACATGTCCAGCAATTGGGGGTTCTGCGATTTATCAATTAGTAAAAACTACGATATCGACAAATTACATATAATTGAGAAACTTGGTTTTAACACGATAGCAATAAACACATGCTTGGAAGAAGGAAGCGATGAACCTAAAAAGAAGAAAAAGAAAGGAGACACGAGAGAGATTAAAGATTTCGTTCCTCCACCGATGGATTTACCAAAAGATAACAATTTTCAAACAAAACTTAACATACTGCAAAGGATTACTATAGAATTTTCAGATTCTGGAATCGTTCATAAATTAAATCGCTCTGAAAATATAAAAAAATATGATATTATAGCTGTTATACCAAAAACATTACAAGCATTTCAGTATGCTTGTAGTTCTATGGATATCGATATTATTAGTTTCGAAACTGAAGGAAGAATACCCTTTAAAGTACATCGTAAACTTTATAAACAAGCTGTAGACAGGGGTATATTTTTTGAAATAATGTACTCCCCTATTATTAGAGATTCCACAGCCCGAAAGAATATAATAAGCAATGCCCATGTTTACCACACTGTGGGGAAATCAAAGAATATAATCCTCACAAGTGGAGCTGACAATCACATGTATATCCGTAGTGTAAATGATATTATAAATTTGGGATTTCTGCTTGGCCTCAATCACAACGAGAGCTTAGAAGTTGTACGCAACAATACACGAAGATTGATTTTGAAAACTGAAGGGAGAAAATGCGGTAAACATTACATGTCATTCAGTCCTATAGAAAATAAAATTAATGAAGATTACTTTGGTATTTTATTTCTTTAAACATGTACATACATAACCTTTTAAACATTAAATATCAGTATTCAATTAAAATTATACATCACAGTTTAAATTTGACTTACATACTTAAAAAGTTAAATTTTATTTCAATTTACAATTATCACATTTAGAATGGGGAACTTGCACCAAAATTATATTATTGTATTTTTCTTATAAATTTTACTAAATATTTTAAATAAATCTGATGGAACTTAATTTCTGCAATCAATGCTACTTTTTATTTTTTATTTCTTAGATGTTAAATGGTTACATCTAGATCACAATGTGGAATATTCCTTTATACATAGTATCGACTGTATTGTAGAAAAACTTTCAATCTGCCCTAGTACCAGTAATTAGTGCTTTCTGAAGCACTAAACGGCTATCAATTCACCAATACATATTTAGACTTACAGAAATACTGTGTCAGATAACTCAACCTCGTGTCTCAAGGTTGAAGGCAATGTTAATACTGTGATGTCAATGTGTTCTGGTTATCAATTGATACTGGTGAATTAAGATCAGAATAGAACTAATTAACTGAAAGACCCCGTTTTACTACTGCTGTTACAAAAAAAAAATATTACTTTTCTAAAGCTTGTGAGTGTATTGCTCACTTTGACTAATTGGATGTGTTGATGAGGCAATTATTTATAATGAAATTAGTAAACGACTTACGTGGACTTCATGTATGAAGGTTAATAAAATATTTTTTATTGATTAAAGAATAATAGGGAAAAAAAGATGTAATATAGACTAAATCTGAAAACAACTTTGTGGTTGTAAGACATACACGTGTCCCGAAAATTTAACCGAAATAATAATTCGCGAATTAAAACATACAGTCCAATTATAACACTAACAAGTCCTTAAACAAAAACTTCCTCTTTTCCTTTAAACAAATTATTTATGCATATTCCCGTTTGTTTCTGATATATTTAACCTACTGCAAGTTCCCCATTTAAAAACGAAAACACATATTAAAAACTGTATTTGCCTTTCAGATATATTTAGGTCTTAATCCAAGTTTTCAGACCTTCATTCTGATTTTTCAACTTTGGCAGTTTTATCAGTATTCTCCGCTTTGTCTGGCGCTATGGTTCTATCTTGCAGTTGCGTAATACTCAACATATCAATTACAGTTTTTGAATCTTCTGGTACACTAAAAAAATCAGCCATCCATTTAAACCTAAACAAAAAAATAAAGTCATTACTAAATTCTAAACTAGTGAAACCAACCAACCTAATGAGACTGAAAGAAAATACCCAGAAAAAAAAAATTGACAATGCAAAGCAGTAAGCAAAACAATAAAAGCCACAAAGCCAATTAGGAATACATAGAAAGCAAAGATGAAAAGTGCATGGTTTTAAATACTTTACACGATATACAATGGACAAGAAATAAAAGAACAAATTTAATTTTTCGTATATTATTATTTTCAAATGCAATCTCAATGTTTATATTATAACACAGTTTAATACAAAATGTATAAAATTCACACACTGAATAAAATTTGCTCACAAAAGAGATTCACACAGAAACCTATCAATAACAATATATAAACTGTAAGTGCATTTATTTTATAGTAATAGTTACATAGTTTAATGCAGATTCAAATCATAATATATTGTGGCACATTTTCCTTCTGTCAACCTAACATAATAGTTTCAGTATTAGAATTAATGTAGCAGGTTTGCGCATTAGTAATGGTTGCAGATGGGTTAATATAATGGCGAATGATTTTAAAGAAGCTCCTAAAATGTAGGTAATACAAATACATCAGAGACTAGAAAAGAACTCTTCAATATTATTCTTCACTTAAATATCTCATAAAATAAACGTGTGATGTAAAAATTGAGCAATCGACCAAATTTTTGGATTAATTAAAACTTAGGTATAGTAAAAACAGTCTTTTGTGTCTTTGATGTTGTAACTTTAACACATCTGCTCTTTTTCTAAGCGCAAAGCAAATTTGTTGGATAATATAGTGATTAAATATTATTGGAAAAATTCATTTACGATAATTTATCGTCATGGCAATAAACTTACAAATTAATGTTAAATCTACGCTTATTTAATTTAGGAGTCATTCGAAAATTATATAAAATTATTTTAATATCTAACATAAATAATCTCCTGGATATTCTAATCATAACTTTAACAAATTCAGTCTCATTGGTAAAAATAAATTTTATACGTGAATCTTTCCTCAAAAACTTATACGATCACAATTTGTTAATTTAATTCAATTAATAAATTCATAACATAGGAACACAAGTGAATTAAAATGGTTATAAATGCAAGAAAAAAAATACGATTTTTCCTTTTTTTTTTCATTTTCTTATAGAATTTTTTAAATGCTTAATACAATAAATCATACGGAGCTACATCAAGTGGTCTTACTTATAAAGTTATCTGTAGAACAAATACTACAATATACATTTAGTACCATCCTTAGTCCTATTTTAAAATTCAGTTCATCATGGATATTAAAATTCGAAGGTAAGTTTTGGGGCTATGCAAAAATGTATTCAAACAATTCAGTCCCTTAACTTCAAACTACGACAAATACTAAAAAAAAATTCACTCAATTACACTAGGCTTTATCAAAATTTCTCACAATATTGAATATTCGTTCCGCTTAGTAAACTCACGAGGTCCGCTCCTAACACATGTCCAACCGAATATTTTTGTGTACGTATTTAAGGCGTGGACTCATGCGATATGTCCTTACTAGCTTGACGATCATAAACCATATAGAACACCATGAAAGTTGAGTTTTTATAGTACATTTGAAAGCTGTGACATAAAGCAGAGTCCGCACCTTAAACAGTGTGCTTGGTGCGAGTTTTTAACGGCGTAAAAGTTAACTCAAATTTGTATGGAGTTGGAACAGCGCCCCTAGCGGCAAACGCAGGCAAACGTTCCAACTCCATACAAATTAAGAGTTAACTTTTACGCGATCGAGAACGTTTTAAAAACTCGCACAAAGCGCACAGTTGTAGACAATTTGAGATCATCGCAAACACGACGTATTCAATTGTTGAGGAAAGAGACACAGTGCGCCACGATGTTCACATTCTCCACCAACCTGTTGTACAGTTCGCGGCGCACGCTCGCCGTGAACTTGCTGACCAAACACAGCGTGACCGTGGCCGCGAATATGGCGTTGTACAGCAACACCAGCCTGAAGTTGCCCAGCCACTCGATGCGCCCGAACTCGCCGAGCAAATCGAAATTCGTTATACCTGTGTTAGAAAAAAAATGCAGACGAATGGATTAATTAAATGAACATTACAGTGGCTAATAATAGATGTTAAAAGTATGATGTACTTTTATTATAAACGTTCTTTATGTCGAGGGAAGAAAGCGGAAATGTTGTAACTTGTATTTTGGGGTAAATAACTTTTTACCATATTCCTGAAAAAAAACCCGCCTCAATAATGGTCATGATCGCGTTTTTTTTATTGCTTAGATGGGTGAACGAGCTCACAGCCCACCTGGTGTTAAGTGGTTACTGGAGCCCATAGACATCTACAACGTAAATGCGCCACCCACCTTGAGATATAAGTTCTAAGATCTCAGTATAGTTACAACGGCTGCCCCACCCTTCAAACCGAAACGCATTACTGCTTCACGGCAGAAATAGGCGGGGTGGTGGTACCTACCCGCGCAGACTCACGTTTCCCTACGATTAAATTTTTCATCTTCAACTTACTACTAAGACCTTTAAGCTATGTCTTATTTTAATTTATGTTCTTATTTTTATGAAAAATGATAATATGGAGTGAAATGAAATGAAATGAAATGAAGATGGTTAATTTGAGACATTAATCAACTGGGATGAAATTAAATGACATGAGATGAGATGATATGGGATGAAATATAATCTCAGTAAAATGGTGGTCATTTAATGAGATTTTTTCAGTGGATTTTTTGGAGGATCCCGAGAAGTAACGTCAAGCAGCTTTCGTTTCATTTTCCCACATTTGTGCACTTTCACAGATATTAATATTATACAGTTAATAAACCACCGTTATTACACATTTAAACCTGAAGAAAGACTAAATAGGCAAAATAAAACCAATCACACAACTTCACTCCTCTCGTTCCCGCCAAAAAGTCTACCTGAACAGTAAGACGGTATAAAATCAATCACACAACTTCACTCCTCTCGTTCCCGCCAAAAAGTCTACCTGAACAGTAAGACGGTATAAAATCAATCACACAACTTCACTCCTCGCGTTCCCGACAAAAAGTCTCCCTGGTCAGTAAGACGGTATAAAATCAATCACACAACTTCACTCCTCGCGTTTCCGCCAAAAAGTCTCCCTGAACAGTAAGACAGTGATAGCATACCTAATATCTTGACGAGCAGCGGTTGCGCGGTGGAGTGCGCCAGCATGACGGCGGCGAGCGCGATGATGCGCGGCAGCGGCGTGCGGCGCGCGCGGGGCAGTACGCGCAGCGCCCGCAGCGGCGCGCTCAGCCCCGTGAGCGACGCCGCGTGCAGGTATAGGATCAGAAACGCCTCGAGGGTGGCGCCGGCCCAGCCCATCTTCGACAACGACGTTATGCCCAGTGTAAATTGCTGCTCGAAAAAAAGACAACATTACATTTTTATCATGTAAACCAAATCTTACCCAGATGTTAATTATATAGTTTAACTAGCTGTACCCGTCCGCTTTTTTATTTTATTTTTTTATTGCCGTATAGGCAGACGAGCATACGGCCTACCTGATGGTGAGTGGTTACCGTCGCTCATGGACGTCAGCAATGCCAGCAGCAATGTCAGCAGAGCCAAGCCGCTGCTTACCGTTTAATACTCTCCACAAGCCTCGTTTGAAGAAGGACATGTCATAGCGCTCATAGCGCTTCGCTGGGCATTTAAAATTAACATTACTATTTCTCACCCCCACAAATAACGCCACCGCAACTGGTGTAGAGAGTTCAATACTCATATAAATATTAGCCTATCCATTAAGCACATGTATTTTCTACATGGATACCAAGTTTCAAGTCAATAGGATGCATGGTTCAGTAGTTATCGGAACATCCGTAAAAACCACTGTAGACTTATATATTAGTATAGATTTGAACATAATCTTTAATAGATTTCATATCTATATCCACTTTTACGATTTAATCTAGGTATTACATATTATTTTTAATTAAATTTTATGTTCAAGGGCGATTAAGCCGTAGAGGTACTTTTAATCATGTCAAAGATACGCGAGATTGAAAAAAAAAAACATTTAAAAGATAGTACATTTTTCTCATTCTGTTTGTCAATCGGTTTTTTTAGCAGCCATTAAAGATCTTTATTGTTACCAATCAAAGAATACATTAAGCTAACCCTTTTTTCAAACTTAAAAAAATGGCACAAAACGCAAAAGAAAATACGTAAAATGAATTTAAGTGTTGTGTTTTAATCGATTATAATTCGCATTTCGATCGTTGGGTGAACCCTAATTTAAAGAAATTCACGTATGTTACTTAGTAGATTATAGATAAATTTATAGAATTGTACAAAATACTTTAAGAACATAGTCCAAATTGATTACTCTACATTCAAATTAAAAAAATTAATACCTAAAATATATATCAAAATTAATACATTTAATAACTTATATTGATTTTATGGATTTACTAGCTGTACCCGTCCGCTTCGCCGGGCATTTCAAATTAACATTATTATTTCTCACCCCCACAAAGATTCTCATCATTAACGCCCCCGCAACTGGTGTAGGGAGTCCAACACTCGTATAAATATTAGCCTATCCATTAAGTACATGTATTTTCTACATGGATACCAAGTTTCAAGTCAATAGGATGCATGGTTCAGTAGTTATAACGGAACATCCGTAAAAACCACTGTAGATTTATATATTAGTATAGATTTCCTTAATAGATTAGAGGCACACGAGCCGACAGCCCGCCTGTCGTTAAGCACTCACCGAATGTAAAGGTGTGTTCTATTTTAACAGATAAATATATTTACCCGCGTGCTAAGCGGCACCGCTTTGATCCCGATGAGTAGCTCGAGGGTGTTCTGCAGCACCATGAGCACGGTGATGGTGGTCAGTCCGAGGAGGAGCAGCATCGCCAGCGGGTACACGACGTTTCGCTGTAGGGATGACGTCTTGCGCTGATTCTCAACTTCCTATAAACAAATGAAATTAATGTTTAGGGTAGGGAGGCTGAGAGTAATGGACGTCACATTGCTTTCGCCTGCTTTCGTTGGCTTCTGTGTTCTCTAGGGTTCCGACGCAGATTGCTGAGAGATACGATGATTTCGTAGATTCAACTGGGAAAGGCCCCCTCATACACTAAAGTCGAATTTCGCCACTTTCCGTCACATCCAAAACAAAACCTATTGCTTAACAAGCCCGGTGCACACGTATCAAGACGTTACGAGTCGAATACGCGTGTTTACGAATGACTTCCAGAATAGAGAACACAAGAAAAGAAAAACTCGAGGAGTTTATAGTTGGGATAGCATAGCATCCTGTTAGTGAAATAAATACATTAAAAGCGATATATGTATCTTTTCTTTGATATATACATAATAGTAACGGCAAAAAGTGGTCACCATAGCCGATAACCCCACAGGAATTACCTTTAGACCTTGAACCAAGGATTCCCAAACCCAAGGAGTCGACCGCTTACATACACGATAACTTAACCAACCGTAAGGTTTTGAAATTGTTAAATATTTTATATCAATAAAACTAATTCTTGATGTAATCCGGCTCGGGGTCTGCGGCATCACTAAATGTTCGAAAAAGGGTCTCATGCTAAAAATATTTTGGGAATCGATGCAATTTAAACAAACATACCATACCATAACAAATCCAATTAGTAATGTTTATAGACAAGTAAAAATATCGTAGATTTCAATGGGTCCTTCTGTATTACAGATATTTGAGTTGCACGGCTAATAACATTTAATTCATTCAAATAATTTAATTATTTATAATTCATTATATTGGTTGTAGCTCATTTTTTATATATATATTTTTCTTCTTTTATCTTATCATATCAATAAAGTTTTTCTGTAATTACGTTGTAGTCTTTTTTAGGTAGCGTCATTAGTTACACGACTGAGAGTTGAATGTAAAAAAAAGCTAATTTTTTTCCTCCGATCGTCTGTTCGCGCTTTGAACGTCAAAACCGGTGAAGGTCGTCGTACTTAATGTATGTGGACAGGGATTAATATTTCCTTGTTCAGTAATTGAGTCTAAGTAAATTTAGTTTAGCATCAGAATTTCGGTAGATATTCAGGTTGGGTTGCGTTGCCACTTGTAAGTCGAGCTAATATCAACTACATCCTTTGACTTTCTTAAAAAAGGGAGCCGATTTGTCGATTATTTTTCTCTTGCGATCCATTGGAATTAATAGCACATTCCGAGAGATTGGAACCTAAAGCAGAATTCACAATAATGGCTAATACACTACGACTTCAATAATAATTATAAGAATTTGTGTCAGTATTCGGTTTTGATAGCGAAAAGTTTCGATCAACACCTTATGAAACTTTCGTTAGCTAGCCGTGTTGGGGGCCTTGTACTGAAAGCTTATAGTTATGCTTATTATCCTTATAGCTATAGAGCTTACAGTTATCTTTAACACGGTGTGTATTATGAGACGATTTCTCACTCTAGAGCCTTCATCTTGTATCGCAGACATCCCAAGCAGGGGTAATTTTTTTTTGTATATATGTAGTATGTTCTTGTAAAAAATGTGTTTTTAATCCTTTTATATAATTACATTAATAGTTCAATTATAATAAAGCGTATGCTTTGTTCCGTAGAAAATTATGTGATAACCTTTTCTATTCACATGATAACAACATTTGCGATAAGAACTACCGTCCCTAATTCTACATTTCATTGTTATACACCTTTAAATTTGTTCCGTTCGATCGTTACTAAAGCTAGCTAGCTGCATGTGATAACTGTGACTAACGCATGACCTTGAGAATATTATATTATAGAAATTGTAGCATATAATAATAATTTCTTAGGATAATGTCACACATTCAAAACGCATTGTAAATGATTTTCAATCAAACAGGTTTGGCCATACTTTTCTACATCGCCGATATTGATAATCGACAGTGACCACTGGCAAACAAGCCTACCGAAATGACGAAAATTGATTTCGCGACAAACATAGGCATGATGGTGCCTGCCACCTAATCTTAGGAGCTCCCGTAGTAGCGAGGACCACGCAAGTTGAATTTATTTTGAATTTTTTTTTTATTACATGATATTCCTTTCTATATTATTACAGTGTAGTGGCGGTAGCCATCATACAACACAAGACATTCGACAGATACCTAAATCCCGCTTACGACATTTTCAAGATAAGCTTGCATATATACAAGTTCCGGACCACCGGACCGAATAAAGCGGCACAACACGAGAACCCTCTCATCGTGGCCGCCGGTAACTACATTCCCGATCCTGCGGAAAGAATGGAAAGCAGTCGACGTCGCCCCAAACACGTCATTTCGGATCCTCCCTCAAGATCTTCGAGCCAAATTAGCATAATTCTTTATTATTTCGTCCACGTTTATAAAGAGAGCAGATTCTTCTAGCAAGTTTTTCGATACCTTAACCTTTAACTACATAATTATATTCAAAATAGAAACTCTTCAGAGTGATAAAACCGAGGGTCAGGAAAGTATAAGGCAACGCCTTAGAATACTAGTGATGAGCACTTCAAAGTGTATACATACCTTTCTCATAGCGACAATTTTCTGAAGTCTCTCATTGAGCCCCGCCTGAAGAGCGCCATTTCTCAGTCTCAATAATGGAACCTTATCGATTCCAGGCGACGCGGCATTCTTCTTTTCTTTGCACATTGAAACATCTAAGTCCAGGGGCTCTGAGAAATCTCCCTTATCAGAGTACATCGGCTCAGGGGAAATGTAACACACACCTGAAAAGGAAAACATACATTTGAAGTTGTATTGTCATCATCATACCAAGTTTTTTTATTGCTTAGATGGGTGGACGAGCTCACAGCCTACCTGATGTTCAGCGGTTACTGGAGTCCATAGACATTTACAACGCAAATGCGCCCCCCACCTTGATATATATGTTCTAAGGTCTCAGTATAATTACAACGGCTGCCCCACCCTTCAAGCCGTAACGCATTACTGCTTCACGGCAGAAATAGGCGGGGTGGTGGTGGTAACCTACCTGGCGGACTCACATAAGGTCCTACCACCAGTCAAGTGCAAAACGTTCATCCCTGCAGGCCTTCCACACCGGTTTTTCAGTGCCCCCTTTACGAACCAATTTCTAATCCTAGAAGCACCTTAAATACCTATAGCTTGAGTCTATCATTTGGTTCACATGGTAAAAATAGTAATAATGATAATAATGATATAAATTAGCATAAACATGGCACTAACACATGCGGTCACGGTGCAACCCAAAAAAAATTAAAGGGAATTCTCGTCACTCGCTACTTTTACATCAAGCTATAGATGTCGTTACGTTTCCGAGGCGGTTTGTTTTGATGGTTTTTTTTTATTGCTTAGATGGGTGGACGAGCTCACAGCCCACCCGGTCTTAAGTGGTTACTGGAGTCCATAGACATTTACAACGCAAATGCGCCACCCACCTTGAGATATAAGTTCTAAGGTCTCAGCTACAACGGCTGCCCCACTCTTCAAGCCGAAACGCGTTACTGCTTCACGGCAGAAATAAGCCGGGTGGTGGTACCTACCCGCGCGGACTCAACCCTATTAAAAGTTTCGTGGAAGATCTCGTCTCATAAGTATTACGTTGAACGACACACTCATTGATGATACAAGGTACAAAAAACGACAAAAGCATCGATAAACTTCTGACCTATTTGTTTACAACGCTGTTATGATACTTAATATTATTTGTTTATTTTTCGAAATCTCTTTAAATGGCGCCCTCCTGTAAAAATATCGCTTAAACCAAATAGTTTTTCACCCCTCGATCTATTTATGTGTATGGCCGATACAAACAAAAGATAACCATTAACCATATAACGCCAGGCGCACTGTGAACTCGAACACCTGTCTATATAAAATCTATATATTAATACGTGAAGCAAAAACTTTGTATCCCATTTCTACGAAAATGCGCGGACGGAGGAGTATGAAATTTTCCACACTTATAGAGAATATAGAGAAGAAGTGCACATTGCTAATATTTTTTTAAATATGTAATGCGTAAAAGATACATTAAATCAATAAAGAAAACATTACACACACTACATACCATGTATTTGACGCACACACGCATGCATACTATTTATTGTCAAACTTTTGTTCTTGGCGTCTGTTGTCAAATTGAGAATAGATTAAATATTGTTTGTCAGTCTTGACGAAATTTGTGATTATAGAAATATAAAATACAATCATAATAGTGTACAAACTTACAATTCCAATTAATTATAGTCGAATTTCGACTACTGCGGGACCTCTAGTCTATAGCATAACGTAATAATAAAATCTATATAATATATAAAAATGAATTGCTGTTCGTTAGTCTCGCTAAAACTCAAGAACGGCTGGACCGATTTGGCTAATTTTGGTCTTGAATTATTTGTGGAAGTCCAGAGAAGGTTTAAAAGGTAGATTTAAATATGAAAATGCTCGGAATTAAATAAAAATAACAATTTTATTTTTCCTTTGATGTGTCCCGTAGGACGGATTCCTTTTGTTTGTTTTAAGTTTATTTTATACAAAAGTTTAGGTTTTTTATTTATCGATCGAGGCACTACGAAGTCGGCCGGGTCAGCTAGTAACTATTAAAAATATTAATTAAATATAATAATAACGTAATAATATAATATTTTGATTAATTTGAAAACCTACACATTTGAAGGTAAATTTAAACTAGATTAAGTTTCCATATGTAGTTATTTTAATACTGATGTCTATTTTTATACTACAATTGATTAGCATTCGATCGACACGGCACACTGGTGAAGTTTCGCATGAAAGCCCACGGGAAACTCAAAGAGGATGTCGTTTGTAAAGACAAGCCATTGTTCTAGATCCAACGTTAGTACACCATTGAACGATTCATTGCAGACTAGACAATAATAAAATTATCGAAGATTGATGTGGTATACAGAAACTTTACTTTTTACTGGTGGTAGGACCTCTTGTGAGTCCGCACGGTTAGGTACCACCGCCCCGCTTATTTCTGCCGTGAAGCAGTAATGCGTTTCGGTTTGAAGGGTGGGGCAGCCGTTGTGACTATACTGAGACCTTAGAACTTATATCTCAAGGTGTGTGGCGCATTTACGTAGATGTCTATGGGCTCCAGTGACCACTTACCAGGTGGGCTGTGAGCTCGTCCACACGTCTAAGCAATAAAAAAAATATAAAAAAAATTGGATGGATGGATGGATCGAATCTGGATGTGGTGAAAGTGTTATTTTGTATATTTCTCTAGGGGCTATTCTGGTTTCACTGAAGGGCGAGCTCATGGAACTCGACATGATACGTATGTTTCTTTAAAAATAACGTATCGATCTATAAAGCCAAGTTATTTTTAAAACAAAATTAACCCTTAAGTGCATCGATATGTTCAAGTTTATCTCGTGCCTTCATCCGCAGAGTAGTGGTACAAATATCGGTATATTTGTATAAAACTTTCTATTGTAATTGTAAGGACGCTAAGCTGAGGGGAGCACTTCTAATTTTAGAAATACAAAATTTTTCAAAACCTACGACGATTTATCATACTATTTCGACGTATTTAAATGTTTTAGTGCAACAATCAATCATTCACTGTTAATTCCTTCAAAAATAATTTGCTCTATACTATACTTTCATATATAGCATATGTTTTATCTATGCAAACAAATCGCAGATAAGTTTGTTTTATGCCAGTAAGTATATGAAGGTGAACAGTTTATAAATATTATTTTTATAGCTATGAAATATATCAATACGCATTTATCATTCGAGGTCAAAATATGTATATCAATATTTGAACGAACAACAATGAATTCGAGAAACGTACGCACCGAAGATAAACACGGTGTTGGATGAATACGAAAAAAAATATACATATACTTATTAAGAGCCTTATACAGAACACTACTAGCTGTAACCGTCCACTTCGCTGGGCATTTAAAATTAGCATTATTATTTCTCACCCCCACAAAGATTCTCATCATTAACGCCCCCCCAACTGGTGTAGGGAGTTCAACACTCATATAAATATTAGCCTATCCATTAAGTACATGTGTTTTCTACATGGATACCAAGTTTCGAGTCAATCGGATGCATGGTTCTGTAGTTATAATGGAACATCCGTAAAAACCACTGTAGATTTATATATTAGTATAAATTTTAATAGAAGATTATAATCGATCTGTCAACAGCGCATTGTCCAAACTATTCAAAACACATGTAGAGCTTCATATAGCTGAGAAAGATAACAAATCACAATAAGAGCGAGGACACGTGGACGCAGACTTAAGAGATAATACGACTGAATAGTGCATCAAACGCATTTCCCTATAGTATACGTTAGAATAGCTGGCCCGATTAGATAAAAGATATGAAAATTTCACAACCGCAACGCCAAGGTTCACACAAAGTGATTAACTTTAGAGGTTGAAGATGAATTTCTTCATAGCTCATAACGGCGGTTTAGATGTGTTCTTTTCAATCGTGTCACTCTTGACAGAGTGGTCGTGATCGTCATGTAGTGTTGGAAGGGGCAGACTTGATTCGTCTCACGATGTCCCGCCATCTCTCCCTGCTCGAGGCCATTCTACTGCACTCATTTAGATGTACCTTTAGTATATTGCCAAGCCAGTATCCGTAGGCTCGGCAGAATGGTTTTCTTCGTTTGAAATATAAACAAAGAGACTAACTGTATGGCGCAGTAATTAGCGCCCCTGACTATTGCGTGGGTCATGCGTTTGATTCCCACGCCTGGCAAAATTCGTGTTGTGAACAGATTTGTTTACTCTGTGCCTGGGTGTCATTGTCTATATTATATTAGTATCTATATCAGTCCCAGTATGGTTCCCATAGTACAGGGAATCCTAATTCGCAGCAAAATGAACGTGACTAGTTAAAAAAATCTCTTGCAAAAACTCCTCGTTGAAAATTTGTTAAAAAAAACTAATCAGTAAAAAAAAGTAAACAAAAACATAGGATCGTGAAGTTTCCTTCATATTAAAAACGTCAATAAATCGTAACAGTCACGTTAAAGAAATAAATGACCCACTAAGCAAGCACGTGACCTAAAATAAATTCTTAAATGAATTCGGTGGGTCAATACGACCACTGAATATTGATGTACTTCCGTCGTTCCATTATATTCTCGCGAACTATCATTACTCAATACGAATGGAATGGCAAACCATGGAATCGATTTAGCATTAGATTTAGGCAACGCCAGTCGCGTGCCAGATTCCTGGTCGCTTTTTGTACAGTACATTGTTTACAGTGTCATGTGCCAAAATATTTTATCGACTTTAGACAAGTCTATTCCGAATACACCTACGATTTGTTTAATACAGTATCTATATATATAAAAATGAATTGCTGTTCGTTAGTCTCGCTAAAACTCGAGAACGGCTGGACCGATTTGGTTAATTTTGGTCTTGAATTATTTGTGGAAGTCCAGAGAAGGTTTAAAAGGTAGATAAATATGAAAATTCTCGGAATGAAATAAAAATAACAATTTTGTTTTCCCTTTGAAAACAAAATTCGTCCCCCGTCGGACGGATTCCTTTTGTTTTGTTTTAAGTTTATTTTATACAAAAGTTTAGGTCTTTTATTTATCGATTGAGGCACTAAGAAGTCTGCCGGGTCAGCTAATTATAAATAATTATTGTATTACTATCGATGGTTATTAATATAGCTTACGATCTACGGCTTAATTTATCTGTAAGAGATCACTTTTTGATGAGAATCAGTTTCAGGGTTACACGGTTACCCTTACAAATCATTAAGCACCAAGCTTTGCGTCGCAGTCAAACTTAAAGAGCTGACAAATGTTATGGGAATAACGACTCGCATTCAAATAACATTCGCCGAATTTCCTTATTTAGAGTGTGAATACACACAGGAAATATTTTCAGATATTTCCAAGTAGTATAAAAAATAAACAATTTGGATACATTTGAAATACGTCATAAAATAAAAACAAAAACATGTCTTTGTTGTCGTACCTGTCAACTGTGAAGAGTACACAAGGTCAATAGAAACAAAATATAAGAGTCAATCCAATACCTACACTAATCAAGAAAAAATCATAACTAAACGAAATTCTGGAAAAATTGTTCTGAATTGATTTCAAATGTAGTGTTATTAACCGACTTCAAAAAAGGAGGAGGTTCTCAATTCGACTGTATGTTTTTTTTTCTTTATGTTTGGTACCTCATAACTTTTGACTGGGTGAATCGATTTGGATGATTCTTTTTTTATTAGAAAGCTGACGCTTCCCATGTGGTCCCCCATTTCAATTTAGTCCAGTTCTGATAATGGTATCCATGAGAAAACCATATAAGTCTTAAATTTGCATTAAGTACGTGCGCGACAAATAGATGAATAACTCAATAACTCAATATCACGCCAACCGATTTCGATGATTACTGTTTTTAGTGTATATTAATTTGATTTGGAATATCTTTTTTTTTCTATTTGAAGTCGGTTTTTGTTAAAGCATGTCTATTTACAATTATTATTTAGTTTTCAGATTTTATGAGGAAGGTCACAGAGTAAACAAAGTACAAGACAGGTCACGTTACAGGAAGTGAAGCGCGCTCATTACCGGCTCGCAATGTATCCTTCATCTCATGAGTTTGTACGTCTGTTATTTGCTAATAATTTTTTCTTGAAACATAATATTATTATCACTTTATATAAAGTTTATTGTTTACATGGAGGGAATGAATAAGTGAGTGTTTGTGAAGACGTTTCATTGTTATTTACGGAATGACACTGTCTGTTTGTTTACTTCTTTGTATCGGTGTTCGCTCAAAAATTGAAATCCGATCATAAATCACTGGTACCTAAAGACTGAGATAATAATTTCAAGTACATATCACATTTCCTCTTGAGAGAAAAAAAAAACTAACACCTTAATTCAGCTAATTGAAAAATTAGGACTATAAAAGAAAATCGTTCGACTGTACTAGATTATTAGAGTAGTAAAAAGGTGCTGTCTTTTCTTGTTTGTTGCTTGTTCTTAAACTTTAAATATGAGTTTTCAAATTAAATCCAATAAAACGATTATTTTACATCAAAAGTAACATTATCGTTCGTTCATTCTAATATGGAAGAGGATATCTGAATAACAAATCTGAGGGCCTAGCCCAAGTGCATCCGACTAGCATTAACTTTTGTAGAAAAGTACACTAATCTATAACACCGTAGATCGGTTGCGCGTTATGAGAAACGCGTTGTGGGAGTATTCTCGCATAATGCACTTGTAAGACCCCCTTTTTTTTAACGCTGGGGAATCCTTTTACGGATTCCCGGTCAAGGGGGTAAGAGACCGAGTTATGTCGGACTCCGGCGCCTCCAGAGAAGAACAGGGAGAAGAAGAAGACAGGGGTCCTCCTCTTCTTCCAATTCCTGCCGGGAGACTACGCCTTGAGAAAGACGCGCGAGGCACTGCACGGCGTCAGCCACGCAAGAGCTACCCCGCAATACCGACTACCGACTAAACCCCATCGAGCCCTACCACTCCGACTCCACGAAACCCACGGTACTTGTAAGACCCCCTATAATGCGTTATGCACAAATATAATACATATAATCAATGTTTGTACAATTCAAAAACTAGGAACACAAATTTAATAAATTAATTCAATTTTATAACAGCACGTCAATTGTGCTGTTATAAAAAAGTGCAAAGGTACGCGAAGTTAATTATGAACTGTACAAATCATTATTCATTTCACAGCACTGAAATTGTAAAATGTGTGAAATCCCCGCGTTATATGGGAGAATATTCGTGTTATACGGGAGACTGAAATCGTGTAATATGAAAATGCGTTCTAAGAGTACTGTGTTATAAGGGGGATTACTGTACACAAATATATGGGATTGATATAAACAAAAAGACGGTCGAGCCAACGCTAGTAGATTATAAATTATCTAGGCCCCCGCGATACCAATAGGAAATCACGAAGGGCAGGCTAAATATGAAATTGCATAACAAACAAACTGAGATATATCATATTAAAATATTTTTAGAGGAGAAGGAAATTATTTTCGAAGATTTATTTTGATTTCTGATGTTTTTGAAACTTTCATTTTAGATAATAATAACATGCGATTTTTTTTCCTACCTATTCTAGTAATCTCGTGGGGTTATTCTAGATTCACCGAACTAGTAGGTGAGCTCACGGGGCTCAAGCCTGACGATGTTGCTAACACGAACCCTAGCAAGAGCCGGGCTTCGCAGAATCTACCACCGGATCGGAAACGCAAACCACTGAGAAGATCCGACGAGAAACTCAGTGGGCTGTGTCTATGGGTTAATTTACTCGTCGAGCCCTTCGTCGCAAGCGACGGGTTCGACGAGGACGGTGACCGCTGTTTGAGGTACCTAAAACATACGAGTACGAGTACGTAATTACTGGTGGTAGGACCTCGCACGGGTAGGTACCAACACCCTACCTATTTTTGTCGTGAAGCAGTAATACGTTTCGTTTTGAAGGGTGGGGCAGCCGTTGTAACTATACTTGAGACCTTAGAACTTATATCTCAAGGTGGGTGGCGCATTTACGTTGTAGATGTCTATGGGCTCCGGTAACCATTTGACACCAGGTGGGCTTTGAGCTAGTTCATCCATCTAAGCAATAAAAAAAGTAGCTGTACATACCAGTTGCGACGGCATTGTCGATTCGCCGTCGGATTGTCTCTTCTTCGAACGAATACATGTAATACTCCTCGTTGAGATCTCTGAGGAACTGCGGCTTCACGAGAACTCCGCCGACAACTCCGAACAGACGCACGAAGCCAAGCGGCGTGAAAACTGTGATTCAAAAACAATTTCATTACTAATAAACCCCCGAAAACATTTAAATAACTGAATTGAATAGAATATTTGAATTTAAAAACATATTTTATATTTTAATTCAAATAAAAACGTAATAGGATTTTTCTAATTTGAACTAAAGTCCACAGATAATATTCAAGTACATGACAAACGTTTGTTTGGCTTTAATTCAATTAAAAACGTTATTAATAATGTTTTTCAAATTTGGACTAAAATCCACAGATAATTCAAGTGCATGACAAACGCCTGTATGGTTTGCAAATAAAGTGTGCAAACGTTTTATTACTTAAAAATTTGTACAGTCTACAAAACACATATTTACGTAATCTGTGAAAATACAACGCATAAATTATATTCGGAAACGTGACAGTTTACAGCAATATATTATCATTCCGAAGATCTATTGGACGTAGGTATATGAATGTGTTAATATTATTTATTTATTTAACAATAAACTTACGAAAAATAATAATAAAAGTTACATTTCCAAAAAAATTAAACCTTAATTGCAAAAGTATATTTAACCTACAGAGCCGTGGTGAACAGCGTTCATTTACAATTAATTATAGGTAGGTGGCATCGTGGTCGGCATTAACGTTGTTGATGTCTATGGGCTTCGGTAGTCTATGTCTAGTCTACGTAATAAATAAAACAGTCCTAGATCTATAATGGCTGCTCTTTCCAAGAGAGCCCCATTAGTTTTGTAGTTGAAGTTTGCTTGTTTTCAACGGTAGTATAAAATGTTATTAAATTCAAACTGACCAAATATTTCCGAGCCAACAAAAACTTTAAAGCTACATAATACAACAGTGGAAATTAATCGACACGTCAGAGCAGCGTCGACGAAAATTACAAATTAATTATAAACACAAGACTAAGACACACCTGCTCACTACGACTTGCGCGATCAAGAAATAACATCATCTATTACAAAGGATTAATAAAATCCAATCGACCAAATATTATAAATTTACGTAGGTATCAACATTCTAATTATTTTTACTGCAAATTTCCTATTTGAAGGAACAGTTGTTAAAAAATACAATTAATTAAAACTTCGACTTAATGTTTTAAGGTTAGTGGCGTAATTCAGTTGTTTAGCCTACGAATAGCAATTTAACATGACAAGGTCCGTGCACTGACCAATACAAAAAAAAATTATGACTTTCTTCTGCCTATTTTCTAAAAAAGGGGTGGTTTTCGTCAGTAAACAATGCGAACAAGTAACGCACTCAGATCCGACAATAGGACATCATGAATCTAAATATCAATCCGCTACGTAAATTTTAATGTTCACGCCGGAACAGTATTTAATAGTAACCGAAATAGCTGTTGGACAAAAAGTTTCGCGAAACACGTGACCGAGATAAACGAAAAAGAATAATCTATTGTTAAATCACGTGTTACTGCAAAAATAGATACAAGCTGATTCGCAAGGCGGTACAAGGACTCGTAAACACGACGATCGCACACAATCTCACCTTTGATTTCCGTTCCGTTAGTTTTTTTTGGGCCTACGAAGGTTCTTGTCTATCTCTGAGGGTTCCATTCAGACTTCGTTTCAAGACGCACGTTATATTAATAGGTTGCAATAAACAAATACAGATAAAGCCAGGAAGCTTTGTATGTATGTTAAAAATCAGCTCAGGCATTTACTTGAAGGGCATGACAAGGTATTTGAGCACACAAAGAGCAGTACCTACGTAAAGCAAATTTGAATGACGGCGAAATCTGATGATCCTACTTAGAAGAAGTACATATAAACTATGAATCAAAGAAATTTGGCAGTGTCTAAGCTACGCCCCTGACATTGTTGATCTAAATGAGGATCGATGACCACCAACCATCAGGTAAGTCTAATTAAAGCAATCAATAAAAAATATACTTTGAGTTTAACAGTCTAGCATTGGCAAATAATGAACATGTTTACAGATGGCTGCATTCTGATATCTCCAACCACTATTACAAAACTTATGCGAGAGGTATTTAGAGATAATTAATAAAAAGAAAACAAGAGAATGACACCCAAGTGTCGAAGTGAGTGACATTCGTTTATAGGCTGAGATATGAAGATTTGATAAAAAGGTTATGGTTTTATGTGACTGAAAAGTGGTGTTTTTGTCTTAGGATGATTTCGACAGATCTTCCTGCGCATCGGTATGCGCGGCACGTCGTAGTTGACCGACTAAAACTGCCTCTCTCTTAATAATCCGCAGCCAAAACTCGAATGAAACAAATGTTTTACGTATTTCTTACCTACTCCCACGAGGCATTGGTCCGGCGGTCATCGACGCTTGACTACTGACATTCTCGGTCGATGTGTTGACCCAGAAAGAGATTGAACCGAAACGTTTGACAATTTTGGAATAAACACACACACACAAACACAATTATTGACCCATGTGGGTTCTCAACGTGCCCTAGGAATTACCTAACATTTTTATTTTTTGGGGGTTCCCTTTTTATTACACGACGATATTTCCTTGTTTTCGAAGTCGTTCATACGTGCACTTAAGCATTTACACAGAAAAGTCGCATCACTCGATATCAGTACACCGAACAAAGTATGCTGGAGCCACAGTAATATTGTGAAAATTAAATTATATAATTATCACGACCATCAGACCACAGACTGGTCCTGTACTATAATATATATGAACAATAATAAAAAAATGAGTAACATAAAAAAATGGAATTAAAAACGCGATGCTATTTCTTTAAAAAAACCCGAATGATTACATTGTACTGTTTGGTCTTAACGACCGTTGCTATGCGCTTTATTTAGTCAATTCGTAAAGTAAAATTTTCATTTACTTTGTAAAACCTTCACACAAAAATGGCTCTTAACAAGATTTTATCCAATCCTGCATTGAAAGATCACAATAAAATGGAACTAAACGAAGAATGGAACAATTTCATGAAAAGGATCGGTGATGTATCAAATTTAGTTAGAGATATGGCTAGCGGAGACAAAGAAAAGGCAGACGCAGCCCAGGTTTTAGCTGATAAATATCTACAAGGGAAAGTGATACTGGACGAAGAAGTTACCATGAATATTAAGGACGACAGAACTGTTATCAATAAAAAAACCAGGAAAACTTGCGACGATTCGGTAAGACTTTACTTGTTTTTACAATCAAACCTTATGATGTTTTGAATGCAATAAATTGTTAAAAATTATTTAATAGCATCAAATGATATCAAACAATGACAATCTGTTCTCAAATTATTATTTTCACATGAAATTTATCTAATCGCTGGACCATGTGCAAGCTTGGATGGGTACCACAGTCTTGCCCATTTCTGCGGCGAAGTAGTCATGCATTACAATTTAAGCCGTGGGACATATTTTGCAATTCAATAGAGAAACATCGACTGCGTGTTCTATGGTGGGTTTTGATTCGCGTTTCGATGTATATCGACTTATTATTATTATTATTTTTTCATTGCTTAGATGGGTGGACGAGCTCACAGCCCACCTGGTGTTAAGTGGTTACTGGAGCCCATAGACATCTACAACGTAAATGCGCCACCCACCTTGAGATATAAGTTCTAAGGTCTCAGTATAGTTACAACGGCTACCCCACCCTTCAAACCGAAACGCATTACTGCTTCACGGTAGAAATAGGCAGGGCGATGGTACCTACCCGTGCGGACTCACAAGAGGTCCTACCACCAGTGATTACGCAAATTATAAATTAATTGCAAATTTAGCAAATTTTTTGCAAATTGTCTAATGCAATAAGACAATGAGGACAATACCTTTATTGAATTTTATAAATATTATTTTCAAGTTAAAAAATTCTGTTAAAACAAGACCTATTTTTTAAATCTCCGGACGCGTGAAGCATTTAACACGGTTGATTCACCTAATAGAAATTTCTAGTAACAACATTGTTGCAAGTCGAACATAACCGTCCAATATACATTACTGAGTTATTAAAACTGGGTTATCGCAGTTCTGTCACTTATTTTTATTACGACATGCACCGGCGTCGAATAAGTCTTAGCAGTTGGAATTCTAATGATTATCACGTGGCTAATATGTTGTTTGTTCTATTTAAAATGTTAATCGCAGAGGAGGTTCGAAAGCATCGGTTAGCGTTGAGTGCCGAGAGGTTTGACGAATGGTTTTTTTTTTTTTTAATTTTTAGTGAGAAAAGTTCAGGTTCCAGTTAGTTTCTGTTAGAGTATGGACACATGTACACATTATATTTCGTATCCTCCAAATTTCCACCTCCGATACCGAAATTATTTTAACTATATTATGTAGTAATATGAAGCTGTGAATCATTATTTAGATAAGAGAGAGAAATTTGTTCGTAACATAGGTTGCATATTGCGATTTCTCATAAAACTAAGGTATCTGTTCTGAACCGAGAAATTACAGTACAATAGAGTAAAACGGCGACATCAACATTTGAAGAAATCCAATCATTCATGAGTACCTACAGCATAGGCACTGCATTTAAATTCCACCAATGTCGAACGGGTATAAATAGTAGAATGCACAAACAGTGATGTCAGTGTTTGGTACGTGCATATATATTGATTGTTGAACGTAAACATACGTGTACTGAATACCTACTTTTTTTTATCAGTGAAAGCTACTTGGCTTGTCTCTCTATAAATAAACATCCACCTAATTTACATAACGTACTCTCTATTAGCGGATAGATGAGAAAAAAAGATGTGCGTTTAGAATTCCTTGTTCCCTTCGACTTTGAGCACCAGTATTCATCCGAGTAAGTTATTTAGGAGAATAAAATTTATTTTAAAACGTTCTATTCGTGTTGTTGTCCGTATTTACGTTGTCAGTGTAAATATTTTCATACTAAACAGATACGCAGTAGACACTGCAAACAAACCAAGACCGGAATGTATCTGCATTTTATTTTTAAACATTACACATATTCTGGATATAGGTTAACTTTAAGTGAAGTTTGCTGTAACAGAAAGCATTCGTGCGTGTAAATAAGGCACGTTACGTAAACCGTGAAGCTGATAACCGAAATGTCGGAGATTTTATAGGGAATTAATGATACAACGCAAGTTTCAAACCATAAGCCTTCAATTAGGATATAACTTTAAAAAATCGTTACTTCTGTTCGCATCTATTATTGATGAAATGAAGCCAATCTCATAAATTAACTTAAGTGGTCTCGCACAACAACTTTCTACTGAAGTTTATTCAGCCAAATCTAAGCAAACAAAAATATGTACGTTTCATTGGCAATTTTTATTATCCATTCAATTTCATTCACACCTGATAATTTTCGTATATGGTTTAATATATTTCGATAATTACAATAATGTTGATTGCATATTTCCGTCAACTAACGAGTCAGTAGTGTCATTATTTAAATTACAGAGTAACTCGCTACACACTTGAGCAAAAAATAAATGATTGTATTTCGGTTATAGTTATACAACATTCTCCGATTGAGCATTTATGTTGATATTAAATACAATTATCTTTTACTTTTTGCTAGTGTTCAAAATATAAGATCGGATTAAACGAGGCCAGGCTATACTAAGTAGGAAACCTAGAAATGATATTAGCGTTTTTTTAACACCTGATTCGAATTTCCAGGGTGAAATCGATAAAGAAACATGGATGGCAGAAGTCAGTAAGGACGCAGAGAGACGAGCTCTCGACCGCAAGATCAGACGAGAGAAAGCAGATACGTTCAAAACGCAAGCGGTAAAAGCTTTTCGGCGGGGAGAGTACGAACGAGCTCTCAGTTGTTACGATCGTGCTATCGAACAAATTAAAGACAACCCAATGTTCTACTGCGATCGGGCTTTGACAAATATTAAATTAGGCTATTTCGAAAAGGTACAGTTTACAGTATTGATTGCTACTTTAACGTCATCATCTTCTTTTTCTCCACCTTATCCCACTAGGTGGGGTCGGCACAGCTAATTTTTCTCTTCCATTCTCTTCTATCAGCCATCATTTCAACACTCACTCCTTTCTCTCTCTCATATCGTCATTCACACACTCCATCCATGTCTTCTTCGGTCGACCTCTTCCCCCTCTACTATTTCCATACATCTCCTAGTAACATGCATCTTCTCTACGCATCACATGTCCATACCACGCTAACCGTCCGCTCTTTAATTTGTTGCTTACCGGGACTACTTTCACACTTCCTCTGATATACTCATTCTTTATTTTGTCCATTCTTGTCTCTCCACACATCCATCTTAACATTCGCATCTCTGCCGCATGCATCATATTCGTATGAAATTTTTAGCCTTGCCCATAGACTGTCAGGTCGACCGATTGGATTATAATGTTATCGTTATTTCGAAAATCATAAATCAATTGTTCCATTTTGCAACAGTTACTGTTATTACTATACTAATAACGATCCAATCGAAACAAATCACATAGTCAATATCAATCACGAAACGAATTTCAAGCAATGTGTATCTACTTATTATAACATGAAAAATAACCATACACCATTCGCATCATGTTGAATGATATTTATTACAGTAAAAATAACTCTAAAATGACGTACCAAATTAAAAAAAAACAATTTAACATTATATTTAACACGACGTCTTTATCTTTATTGTGGCATCACGACAAGATTACTTTTATCAATGGGTCAGTTCCACGTTCACGATAATTATCTTTGGGATTAAATCTAATTTCAATAACCACGAAATGAAATTTAGTAAAATTAATTTATTTTCTTCTTTTAAAACAAATATGCGCTGTGTCCAGGTCGTCGGAGACTGCGATTCGGCATTACGCCTTAACGAAGACAGCTACAAAGCGCGCCTTTACCTAACAAAGGCTTACAAGGAGTTGGAGGAACATGACAAATACGAAACAAGTTTTAATGATTTGGAAAACAAATTTCCACAGCACCGTGACTTGACCGAATACTTCTTGAACAAGAGAGAAAATTTCGAAGAAGACGACGATGATTAATTTTGGAAACACTGAAGAACTGTTGTCGATTTAGAAAGTTTAGAGTTTTGTTCTGTCAAACGAAATTTTGTTCAATTGTGACCGTATTGTCTTATTTTAATTTGACGATATCTTTGGATCTCTTCATTGTATCTCATGCCGTATCGCTAAAAATGTTTGTTCGTAATAATACTTTTGGCATGAAGTTTGTTAATATCCATTAATAGCATTTTGTAAATAAATCGGGTCTGGTCTAGTATACCATGTATTCATTTATTTTGATTAATAGTAGTAACTCATTCCTTTCTTGAGTCTCTACTATTTCAAATGATTAAAACAAATTCTGTTTATTGCGTAGACAGGAGAATGAGAGAGCACCTAAGTGGTGTTATATTACCGAAACCCATGGGAATCACAATGCCTCACCCCCCCTTGAGAAATTAGGTCGTAAATCTATACTGTATAATAGATATAAGGCTTGTCAAAATCCTTCAAATGAGCGGATGAATATCGTCACTGAAACAGTGGGTATGATGGTGCAGCAGGCACTAATATTTTATAGAACAAATAGAAATATAATATTTAAGAGAAATAGATACAAAGAGAAAATAGAAATATATACATAGCCTAAACGTCACAAGTCTATTCGTAAGTATTATCTCAAAATTGTACGATATCTGCAACTAATAAGGTGTTAGCGGTAGGCAGCGGCTTGACTGTGTTCTTAGCATTGCTGATGTCCATGAGCGACGGTAACTACTTACCTTTAAGTGGGTCTTATGCTCGTCTGTCTAATAGCCGCAATAATAGCCGCATTTCCTTTCCATTTTCTTAACATTTATAAATAAAACCATATGAGTAAATCTGTATAGATCGTGTTCGCAGAATACGCATAGAATACAATAATGGTAGCAAAAAAAACCGCACAGAAAGGTAAGCGCATCAAGGACAACTCAAAAGACTCCGAACAAGCATAAGTTAATTATGGCAATCTATTCTAACCCTAATTACCATTAGATAAGGAATTGCGTACATATTTAAGGCGAATGAAAGTAGAGAAGGCGAAACAGATATTTTTTTATTTGATGGGGGTTCAAAGATGGAAAATTACAAAGCGTCACTATCTTTAAGAACTATTCCATAATCGATACAAATTTAATTATTACGACATTAACCGAAAAGCACGATAAGATAATTCCTATATCCGGTCATATTTCGTTTTTAATGGATAAATGAAGAATGTATTTCTTGAACGCGGCATAAGAAATGATAGTCGAAATCGGTACCTATACATTAATGAGTCGCTGTAGAAAATAACAGGTTGGGTACATCAGAGGATAATGTCCGAGAGTAATTTGTGTTCAAAGTCGAGTTTGTTGACGTCTAGCGGCATGACGTTCCTTTTGACGACAAGCTTCGTCGATTTTAGAGATAACACTATCTCGTTATTCTGTACACCTAGTATTAAGTGACCAGCTGGCAGATATCACTACATAGTATAAAACAAAGTCGCTTTCTCTGTCCCTATATCTGTCTGTCCCTATGTATGCTTAAATCTTTAAAACTACGCAACGGATTTTGATGCGGTTTTTTTTAATAGATACGAGTGTCTGAAGAGGACGTTTTATGTGTATAATAACATCTATTAAATAGTGGAGAAATCAATAATAAATTACAGTTTTCGAAGCGAAGCGACGGCGGGTCGCTAGTCAAGTATAAATGTCTAAGTCAACTTGAAACACAATGTCGTTGTCTCTATTGCATAGACTTAAAGCCTACCTCAACCGACGTTTCGCGGCAATATTTCGATTATAATCGATTATATATCGAAGAGATCGTTTATAAAACGAATACGTTCATTTCGTTTTTATTAAACCTCATTAAATTAAATCGATTATTAAAAAACTCACCTAGTAACATTAAAACGCCGACAAAAGACACGCAGGAGTAGAGGAACGGTAGATAAGTCCATAGATCTGCGAATGAATAAAATATTTGTTACTCAAACTGGTTATAAGCTTTCACATTCACGTGGCGTGATGATTAGAACATTTTATACTGTTTATTTACGAATCAAAAGACTCGTCAATACAATACGAGCTATACCTTTTTTTTTTAATAAATCAATTTTTAAGAATACGATACAAAATGAGATTCATTTAGCAATATTTTTAGGTTTAAAAAGTAATTTTCAATATTTTTAATGAGCTTCACTTTTAGTGTTTAAAGATTATTATCGATTCGCATAGCTATTTGCCACAAAGCAATCATGCGCTTTGATTGGAAGCGTGTAAACCATGTTCTACAAATACAATTGACACTTCGATAATATGTTTCAGGATGATTGACGTCATTCAGTTATGTTCTATGTAACTTAGGTATCTACCTATTAATATTTTAGGTAGCCACATAAAATCAGGTTGCTCCAGCAACGTACAAATGAGTCGTCTATTATCAAAGGTGGCAATCTGTGCATTTGAACAAGAAAATGTTATTGATATATCAATACAGATTGATTTGAATATAATCATCTCCTTCAAAGAATACGGTTCAAAACCTGCATTAAATAAAGGTTAATACTTAACCTGTTATTTATCTAAGATGTCGTTCAGAAGAGTTTTGTGGCTGCCAATGGAATACAAAGTCAATAATTCGTTTTTCTGATTTACCAATAATTGTCCAAAAGTCACATTGCCGGCTTTGATACTAGTCGACTCAAATATAGTGCTACAAAAAAAAAACAGCTTTTTTTGTTCCATTGTGTTGCATAATTACATTGGAAACGGAAACATTTTAACGAAATGTTTGGAGATCTTTTGTTGAATGCCATCCGTAATAATTGAACACGAGTCGGTGGTACAACGATTTGACATAATAATATAATCATATAGTATAAATAAACAACATAGAACAAAAATCTGAGCAAAATAAAATAAAATCTCGTTTTATTGCATCGTTTCTGGAACAATCCGGATAGTTCATTAGCACCGTCTACAAAATAAATTGGTAAAATTTCTTCACGGTCCATTAATAACAGATAAAGACGGATATACTATTTAAAATACAAATATGTACATATTTATTTTTGTAAAACCCGAAACAATAAGAATTAATTGAATGCATTTTGTGAGACACGAATAAACGGCTATCACAATTTTAGCACGTAACTGTAATGTTAAATTTTTTGGCACACTTCGAAATCCATAGTTATCACGCTTTCATTTTCTAGGTTGAGGACGTTTTTATATCTATAATTAACTTTTGATTGTATACTATGCGGAATGATTAGGTTAAAACTATTTCAGAGCGTGTAGACTATTCGTTGATGACATTATTTCGTGTGATTATTTGGGTTATGGCAAGGAAAGAAGAAATAAAAGAAGGGAAGAACTATCACGTTTATTACGCCGTGAAATAGTCATGGGTAGGGGTTTGAAGATTCGGACGGTTGTTGTACAATCAATCATGATTTCGACACCATCTCCCAAGGTAAGTTACCTTTTAATATGAAATTAGCTTGGTCTACAGCAAAAACAAAAATTTAGCGATTACAAAAACATCATATAGGTAATACTTACTCAATAATGCGTCCACACCAGAACGATCTCCTTCTATCCAAGCCGATATGACATAAGCCAAGCCGAGCATAGCGATGCCGAGCAATGCTAGCACAATAAAAGTTTCGTAGACTCGACCCTTCAGACCGCGGCATCCAGGAAATCCGGACGACTCCGAAAATAAATAGGCAAACGGTAGGAAAACAAACAATGACAGATTTGAAAATAAAAATACGTGATTCCATAGACCTGAAACAAAATTAACATTTTGTAGATAAAATAGATCTACAGTCGTCTCTTTTTCTAAATAGTCAAGCTGGTGGGGACGGTGCCATCCCACAGGGCTCCCTGAATAAATCTAGATATTTACGGTGGATGAGATTTTGTTATTCGTCAAAACTATTAATTGGTTATATGTCTTATTGAAATTCTAAAAATAATTGCTATCGCAAAATAAAACAAAATTATATTACGTTATTTATCATGGTGTACAACAGATCGAAATTCGAATGCCGCTACCGTATAAAAATTATCGACTTATAATATGGCAACGCTACATTTTCTGAACAACAGTTAAAGAGCGTTCGAATTCTTAAACGCTTTTTATACGTTTCCACAATATTGTACTGTTGTGTTGTGTAATGTACATTTGCAAGCTGTCCGAGTAATCCCATGCTCTAGCTTAACTTTATTAATAACGTTAGATGTGCTTCTATTCCAGCTAATTTGAGTTGATATGAGCTTTGAGTTGCTAATTCGACCTCAGGTTTATAAAACAGTAGTAACTTTGGTATTACAGAAAACTAGTTATTAACATATATAATACGCACTGAAAACAGACTGACTATGACCTAATAATAATCTAATATCAGAATTGCCTAATATCAGAATAGCTCCGTGTACCTATTATCGACTACTTTAGTGTTGACAATCGAGCAATCGATTTTCTTTCTTTTTTCTCTAAATATTCGCCTAAAAGCCTAAAAGACTATTCCAGCTACGCCCGGACAGATAGGTGAGCGCACGGGCTCAAACTGAGAGAATTTGCTAACACTAGCCCTAGCAAGGGCAGTGCTTCGCAGAATCTACCACCGGATAAAAATTGCGACCCGCTGAGAAGATTCGGCGAGAAACTCAGTGGGCTGTGTTTATGGGTTAGTTCACTCGTCGAGGACGGTGATCGGTGCTTGAGGGTCCCAAAAAGCATCGAGAGTGAATCCGGGGGATCCGACAAGACATGTTTCGGGAGACGGCGTTTTTGCGTTGCCCCGGCACTCGACGGACGGAGCAATCGACAATTGTTATGATGAGTTCGCTATCCTTAGGTGTGCTATAGAAAATAGTTCTTTAACCCTGAAAATCCACGTGTGTTACGAATATAGTACGGCATACGCATAAACAAAACTATAAGCGAGACACGTTATTATGCAATTGGTATAATTATTTTCATCAGCTGTGTATGTTTCGTGTGACGTCAAACGTACACGTGTATTTACACTATTACAGTTACGTGCCTTTGAAAACAAACTATGGATTGAATTAAATTTAAGGATGTTTCCTATTTATGATTGTGTAGGTAAATAATTTACAACACTATTTTAAACAGAAATATTTTTGTGAGAATTTTTTTTTTTTTTTTTATTGCTTAGATGAGTGGACGAGCTCACAGACCACCTGGTGTTAAGTGGGTACTGGAGCCCATAGACATCTACGACGTAAATGCGCCACTCACCTTGAGATATAAGTTCTAAGGTCTCAAGTATAGTTACAACGGCTGCCCCACCCTTCAAACCGAAACGCATTACTGCTTCACGGCAGAAATAGGTTGGGTGGTGGTACCTACCCGTGCGGACTGAGAAGAGGTCCTACCACCAGTAATGACTATTACCGTGTCGTTGCAATTAATAATTTTAAGATGGATAGGAGAGTGGGATCATCTTCCTATCTCTATGGCACACCCGCGCGTATTAATGGCGCGAATTTCGTGATGAACCGTTGTTTAAATATTTTTGCGATTTGTACAATGTTACTCATAAAAAGTGTTAGGTAGGTACACAATTATATTTTATATCTTGTGACATCATTTCTAAAATTACGCAATAAGATTATTAGATTACGCCCAACAAACAAGCAAACAAGTTTTCTTCTTTTAATATCGATAAAGTTGAAATGTTAATATTACTATAGGGCCATAGATCCCCATTTTAAATGTAATTTTCAAAATTGTGCCCGAAAAGGAAACTATTTCATTTTTACGGAATGTAAATTAGCTTAGGTGATAGGGAAGACATACATGTTTTATACTAGGTATTCTATTTTTGGGTCAATTAAAATGGTTACCTTGTATCAGAGAGCTATTAAGCCATTTTACATAATAACTGTTTGGGTACAGTATGAGCACTTCATTGCTGACAATCGAAACGGGCAGCAGGAGTGCAGAGCCCAGGGACACTGCCAAGGCAAATGTGCAGAGCCACAAGCTGATCCTGTACACTTTGACTTCATCTTCGTCTGCTGTAAAATAGTCTTCGCTGTCTCGTCTCCGAAACTTCTCAATCAACGTGAACGAGATCAGATACAGCAATATAAATAATAACAAGAAAATCTGTAAAAAAAACGATATGTTTAGTAAAAGCAATAGGTTATTTTAGAGGAAGTGAGCAAAAAAGCTCACATTTAGTGGGAATCGCCACCTTCTATCTAGAAACATAAGGTTGATTTTTTTTTGCTTTCGAATATTAACTCGCCTGCCTTTTACAAAACAAACATATGATACAATTAAGGTTTCATTCTCATATCTTAAAGTTGGTGATAGCATCTACGTTGTGATGATTATTGGCTCCGGTAACCGCTTAACACGTAATGGAACAAGAGCTTATTTTCCCATGGGAACAATAAAAAAGGTGTCTTCTGACGGCAAAAACTATGGCTCATAATTAAAAAACACAAAAACCGTAGCTGACTATTGCAACAACACTCCATGCCTTCGATCGAAACGACCGCGACCTCAGTAATAAAAGGTTAGCTAAATCATGAATTGTTTTCATGCACATAGTTAGAAATTAGAGTTGAAGGTTATTCTCATAAGACATCATCAGTGTTGCATAATTAGTGTTTCATACAGACGATATTCCGCAATTGCTTAAAGAGTCAACTTTGAGACAACAACCCTATAGAGAAGATAAAAAGTTACCAAAAAAATATGTAAGTATCTACTTTTCGTGTGATGCGGCTTTTTTTTCTATTAGATGGGCAGACAAACTAATTTTTCGTCTGGTGCTATGTAATCCTGGAACCCACATAGATATATCACAAAGAGAATTACGTCGCCCGCCTTTATGCTTGAATAGTTCGTTACAGAAGTAAACTGAGCAGCAAGCTCAACCAAGAGTATAAAATTGAAAAGCCATGAAGTACTAGTACTGATAAGTAAAGTATTAAAACTTTAAAGAAAGATAAAGATAACACGTTCAATAATGTTACATTTGATTAATTAATTATCTACTTTTAACTAACTTCAATGAAATAAAAAAAGGGGAAGGCCCAGTTAAGGGCGTTTATTTTTTTTCGATTAAACTGGGATTTAATTGGCAAAGTATGTTAATTTTTACACGCTTTATATTAATTTCACTTGTATTGTACTTCATTACACTACAAACTACACTACACATTACACTACATTCTACTACTTCTATTTTTAGCTGAACTGTATATAAAGCGTGTTTTTTAGTTTTTTTAAACTATTATTTATTATGAGAATTCCGCTATTCGTTATTTATTGATTTTTTTATTACTATGTGTTAGTCAGAAAAATGTAAACTTGAAAATATCATAAAATATTAGTTACTCTCATTACTAAAGTGGTAGCCTTATTTGTCTCAGCAGTTTGGGAGTTTAAAAAAACTAATCTCTGTTTTTTTTTATTCCAGTAATCATTATAAACCATATTTATTTTTGTTAACATATTTCGGTCTTTAAATAAATAGCTGATTTCCAATTTTTTGCTATTTGCATATAATATGTCGATAGAAATTTATTTTTTCAAAAATTTATTGTTATTGAACAGGTTGTATTTATATGCATATATAAATAATAATTAATAAAATAGAGTAGATTATTTTGACATTGAATTTTTGTTTATAGAGCAAATTATTATTAATACTTCCCACATAATTAATGTCATGTCCCTTTTTTGTGGGACTTATAATAAAATTGTAATCGGGTTTATGTTATTGTAATATTTTTAACCGACTTAGGTGTATGGCTCTAATAAAGAACAAAAAAGTTTTTTTTATAATAACCTGTTTTAATTTATGTATATATATTGTGATTAAGGTTTCTCTATCAAATGATAACATTATTTTTTATAATAATGATATATAATAACATTATTTATTTTATTTTATAATTTAAAATTTATCTCCTTTCAATATCCTGTGTACTACAATACATTAAAAATAATTGACCATCTTGCCACTTATTTTCTTATATGATAAAATATCATCATCATCATCATTCTTTCCTATTACCCTCTGCTGGGGTGTAGGGCTTGAATAAAATCCTTCCATTTACATCAGTCTTGGGTAGTCTGATAAAATATAAAATGCTCTATTAATTATAAAGTTAGTGTTTTACAAGCTTCTCAATATTTATATCTCAGTTTAAATAAAAAGTTATCTCTAGATCAAATATATAAAATACTTTTTTGGATTTAATGTAGAATTTAGAGAAGTGTTCAAAAACTGCCATAATTCATAACTAGAGAACTACAAAAATGGAACATGCAAATATGATTTTTAGTTTTGGAATGATCACACATTTTTAGAACAGTTGACAGATTTTTTATTACTTTGAATTGTTGTTTTCAGGTTTTCAAGAGTTTTTGTTAAAGTGAATTAAGTATGAACTTGATAAAGTTCAAACATAATATAAGTAACAAATAAACTAACAATTATTTTTTTTGTTTAGCTAACTGGACTGTTCACGGCCCACCTGAAGTTCAGAGGTTACTGGAGCCCATAAACATTTACAAGTAAATACCGATTCATCTTGAGACAAGAGTTCTAAGGATGTTAAGGATAAGTGATAATTAATATGTGTTAAGCAGCTGATGTAAGTCAGGATATAGCCATGGGAACACCTTCTATTTGAATGAAAGAAACACATCCAAATTGAGATATCAGTTTTAGATCTCAGTTTTTACAAGTAAAGTTGCTGCCTCACCTTTCAAACCAATACAGATAACTGCTTCACGGCAGAAATAGGTCAGGTGGTGATAGCTACCTGTGGGAACTCACAAGACGCCCTACCATATATGGTTTTAAAAGTAGCACTTAATTTTTATTGATTGAGTTTTTAGTTTTCTAATGCCCATTAAAAAAAAGTTTTAAAAGACACCTTGTAAATTTATTATTAGTTCAGATTGTGGTATCTATAGCCAATATAGGAACATCATTTTGAGTTAGTTACATTGGCAAAATTAAATGACTATGAACTATGTTAAAGTGGATATGAAGGTGATTTCAAGTGATGAAATTTAAATTGGATATTTACATTACATCCATAGATATAAATACAAGCTAGTTAAATATAATACAGGCTAATAATAGCTACAGGTATTGTACATTACCTGTAGGTAGCACTTATATTAATATCCCACAATTAATGGTACAACAGTTAGTAAATAACGTTTATTGCATTTTATGGGCTACCTAACATGAATATTTAGAATAAGTAAAAAAATTGTAAAAATTTTGATAATGTTTAGACCTTAAATAGAAAAGATTTCTGCTGATTTTGTACTGTTTTATATAAAAACAATAAAAAAAACAAGTGTTTTTATTATGTCTAAATAGAACCTATGCGTTTTTCTAAGTATTCAAGCTACCAATTACAAGTTTATCTAGAACCCTAAAGAATTGAATAGTCAATATAAAATCAATTATGAACCGGTAGTTTACGTAGTATACTCGAACTATGAACAAGAAAAGCCATTAAGACTAATGGATGTGTTACTTACAATTTGTTCTCTAACATTATTATGAAAAATCTGTTCCCGTAAATCTGCCTCTTCATCATCCATCTTCATTCAATGCTTATGTATTTTTCTTTTTTATAAAAGACGATGTTTCTTTCAGATCATCGTTGTACAAACACTTCATTTTCACAATCATGAGAAACAATGGGTCATCGCACTACATTTTTAAATAATACTTAGTAAAACACAATTCAATTGATATATACTTGTACGAATTAAAAGGATCACAGTTTAAATCATTAATTTGGTACGCAATCAGATTGTAGACGCAACTATCACTCGGACAATTTTAAAATTGCACATAGGTACTTTGAACAATGTACACTGCAGTTGCACAGACTAGGACTAGAAACGGAAAATAATTGCTTAACAGATTATACCTGACTTTGACAATAGAATTGAATGAGCAAAAGTTTTTTTTAAATTGCATAAATGGATGGACGAACTCACCGCCCACCTGGTTAAGTGGCTATCGGAGCCCATAGACATCTACCACGTAAGCGCCGCCACCTACCTTGAGATATGAGTTCTAAGTTCTCAGTTTTCAACAGTACAACGGCTGCCCCACCCTTCAAACAGAAACGCATTACTGCTTCACGGCAGAAATAAGCAGGGCAGTGATACCGCGAACTCATAAGATGTCCTACTACAAGTAATTACGCAAATTATAATTTGCGAATTTGATTTTTATTATCGATGTTAATCCTTTACTGTGTTCCTTTACAACAGAACAGTAATTATTTGTCAAAAAGTGTCCAACTTAAACTAACATAAGAATGAAACGTTCAATAAGGTGGAAAAAATCGCGATTTAGTGCTAGAAGCTGTAAATATTCTAAGTACTGTTTTGTATACAGTGATTCTGTAAATATAATCATATCAGTTACCTTAGTTTTTCTGCAAATCATCTCATTTAGCCTTGCCTTGGTCTGAGGTGATCATAAGACTATAAACATAGAGCATGAAAACTTGCCCTATGAGATTAAAGATCTCTGCAACCTTTGATAATATTTTGAAATTGAATTTGATTAAGAGAATTCTACTTATAGTTTTATTATACGATAACATAGCAGGAAACTTGGAAAGTATCTTTCAAACTAGAATCGTTCTTTACAAAATCTACCATGCTTAAAATACCGCCAAAACTGTCACTATGCAAATAAAAAGTACCACATACATTATGGCATAATCTGAAATCTTCATCAGAAAACGACGAAAAGAACATTTTTCTGGAATTTTTTGTACAGTGGCGCGGCGTCATCCTAATTTATTTCTTGTTTAGGAACATTGACTAATTAAGATTTGTCAAGTGCCAATGGACTTTGTATCCGGCTAATAAATAAAAAATAAAAAAGGATTTGTCAATTGAGATGTCAGCTGTCCGTATTCACCAGCTGATCAAAACACATTTCAAAAACGAGAAACAACATTTACATAGGTATCTACAAACAGAACTTTGCAACAAATTAGTTGAGAAAAATGAAATTTTTAATTCATGAAATTAAATCAATAATCTGATCTTTTATTTAGAATATAAGATAAAAAGGAGCTTATTAACATAATCCATTAATAATTAAATATGAGTTCATTGCAGTGTGAGTAAATATTAATATTATTTTAATTTGTTGCATAGATTGATGAATGAGCTCTTAACCCACCTGGTGTAATTAGATATCAGAATTAAAATTCGTTGCTTCTTCGCAGAAGAAATGGATAGCGTAGTGGTGCGTAGCAGTGCAATACCCTTTACACAAATTATAATTTTGTCAGTTTGGGTTTTATTACATTTTTTATTAATTACTTGAGTAGACGAGCTCACCTTGTGCTAAGTGGTGTTATTCCTTCACAGTAAAAGTCAATTGTGAAAGTACATATTATTTGATTAGAAAATTTAAGATCTACGTAAGGGATTGGAACTCCGGCACAGCTGCATCATAGTATATTTGCACCGGATGTCTTATCTTTTAGGCCACGATGACTTCGATAATGTTGTGGTTTTATAAATATAAAATATATTTTAGACTAAATACAATAACACTATACAATAAAATAAACTTAAAGCTACACAAAATATATACACGCCACAATGTTATTCCTTCATCCTGGAAGTCATTCTTGAACATGTGTTCTGTATGTGTTTCTAACATTTAAAATATTAACTATAAATCAATGTTTCAGCAGTAAGTCACCATAATCCGGAGTTTTCAGTGCGCATTGTCGTATGTGATCATTATATGACGAAACCAACTGCAGGTGTGGATGTTACTTATTCAGAATTCAGAGGAACTGACATCAAACAGGTTTGTAGACAACACTTACTCATTTGTTGTCTGTTAAGATTAAAATAATTAAATTGTGACCTACATGCTACAAATATTGAATTACTACCACCCTATATGGAAATATAAAATTGGGCCATTGAATACATTCAAATTACAGTTTTTTTTTTATCTAATCAAATTTCATTTACTATATTGCAATTTAATTTCTAATTAAGATAAATAAATACAGGTACCAGTTCTCAGAATATTTGGACCAGCAAAAGATGGGTACAAGGCCTGTTTACATATTCATGGGGTATTTCCCTACTTCTACATACCATGTCCAAGTCAAAATCCAGAGCCGCAACTTTTGTATCAGGTACAAGTTTGAATAAATTAGACTAGATAGATTCTATTCAAAAGATTTACGAACCACTTTAGACTCAAATGAGAATTGAATTAATATAACTATAAATTTCAACTTTTACTCACCATCAGTTGGGCAATGTGCCTAAAATTGCCATTAGAAATATTTCAATTCTTATACTCAGTACTTTTTGAGGACCTTGATTTTACATTTACTTAAATTTATTTTTACTGTTTATTCTATTAATTTAAATCCCACCTCAAAAATCTAACCGACATAAAAATGCATAACTACTTGGAGACAATGCTTGTTGGGAAATCTACCCCTTTGTGATACAATACACCCAACAATCAACATACTTTAAAGCAAATTAATAAATTTTGATTATACGAACAACACCTAAATAGAATTGGAAACAAAAATTGAGATTGAAAAAAAAAAAAAAAGATGTCAAATCATGAACAATGAGACAATACATAAGACAAAAATAAGCATATTCTGTAATAGTTGATTAATAATAGTTTAAAAAATTCTTAATTTTTTTAAAGTTAGCTATAATACATGAAATTCCATTGATAGATTCACCATATTATAAAGTTTTATTTAAAAAAACAGTAATCAAAACTAGTTATTTTTTATTGCTTAATATTAATAAAACTCAAATATTTATGTATCTTTGCAGATAGCAGCAAGTTTGGATAAAGCTTTAAATATAGCCATGAAACAGGCAACATCTTCCAATCAACATGTTTACAAAATATCACTAGTCAAAGGCTTGTAAGTTACCTCAAAATTACTTCATGTAATATTTACATATACATAGTTATCTAATATCTACCTAACAAAAATTCAATTATCTGGCTCAAACCGTAAAAGTACTTTTAATTCAATAATTCACTTGTTTATTTCAGACCTTTTTACGGATACCATGATAAAGAGCATTTATATCTGAAAGTTTTTCTGTACAGCCCTGGGTTAATAAAGCAAGCAGTTGAACTCTTCAGTTCTGGGGCTATTTTAGGCCAGACATTTCAACCTCACGAATCACATCTAAACTTCACATTACAATTCTTTATAGATTTCAATCTTTTCGGAATGAGCGACATTGATTTGCAGAGCGTACAATTCCGAAAATCTGGTCTTTCTCAAAAGAGCAATGAAGTGTTATTTGATACAAAAGAAAATACTTTAACGTCGGAAAGCAGTTGCCATTACGAAGCTGACTGTATGGCTTCTCATATTATTAACCGACAACGAATAGGTAAAGGAGATGGTATAGAAAATCCAGGATTAGAAGAAGTTTGGAACCAAGAGTTGGAAAGGCGGAAACAATTAAATATGTCTTTAGCCTCAAAGTCACTCTCTCAAGGTCTTACTTCTTTAAAACAAGTAGAGACAGATTCACACTACAAATTCGAAAATATATTTGCCGTAAAATTATCAAATAAAATTGATAAGCCTGTTCTTCTAGAGCACGCTTATTATCCAGCTGAGACTCTAGGAGATACGCAGCTGTTTAAAGCAGTTGATGTATCAATACATCTGCCTAGTAAAGACTTAGATTTGACCTTAAATAGAACGACAAAAATGAATTTAAATGAACACGAGGAAGAAGATTTGGATACCACCATTGTCGATGAAAATTTAGTCCTAAACAGTTCCATGTCTTTACAATACAGTCAAGTTTTGTGTAAGTAGACTATTGAATAAAAATAATTAATGGAAAAAAACTATATCAGGATTTTAATTTTCCTATGTGTACTTTTCAGTAAACAGTGAAGATATGGAATTAATTGATATGTTGCATGATATGGACCAACAACGTGTTGAGGAAGACAGCATCATGGGGACTCCAGCAAACCAAGATCAAGAAGTTGATGTCGAATTAGATGATGCAGAATACTCTAGGATATTTAATGATGATTCTGTTTGTCATGATCAAAATGAAAGGTACATAATATTAAATTGCATCTAGTTGTAAGACGAGTCATCTATTTGTGGAACAAGGAAGTCATGTGCGCCAGTTACGAACGTTTAACTGTTGCCATTTAAAAAAAAACGGACTAGAATCTCAGAGAAGTAATTACCTACTTTCATAATATGTAATATTGAAGTTCCAGTTAAATCTACGTAAAGTTCATCATATATTTCATTTGAAATAACTAATGTTTTTAGTGAAAATAATGGCAGTCCTTTGTCTTGGCACGACTCTTTCTGGGATGGAGCTAATATTCCACAATTAGACGGCACATTCGACAACGACCGTAAGTAGGGTCATATCTAGTTTACATCAGGGTTACGCCAAAAGACGGACCGCGGTACGGATCTGGACGCGTGGACACATCAGCATGCACTACAGACAAGCGCAAGAGCAACATTTTCGAAGATGAACTTAATTAAGAATAAATTTCGATCTCGACTTTCTAATGAACATCTCTAGGGCTTAATGTCAATAGGTTGTATCAATTTGACTCCAAACTTTAGACAGATTGTCCGCAACAAAAATAACACTTCTGCCATTGATTTGTTAAAAAATTACCTTTATTATTTCCGTAATTACATTTGTTTTGTTAAAAAAAAAAACTACCTATAAAACGTAGTTCGGACCACGATGGTCATTTCATTTCTTAAAACGGAACCCGAGCGAAACTAATTGGTGACCCTTGATTTATATAATAAGGATTTCTTGAGCTCGATTACATCTTCTTTAAAGTAAATTTGAAGATTCCTAAGAGGTAGGCAACAGTTCAGCTTTACTTATGGCATTGCTGCTGTTCATGATCATCAGTAGCTACCCTGCATCAGGTGCGCCGTATGCTTAGCCGCATCTGTCATAATAAAAAGGACAACATAGCTAGAAACTCGATTTATTATCTATAACATTTTTCGCAGATGTCACAAAAGTTCGGAAAAAAAGAAGACGAACTCTTCAATTAGGGTTATCTAGGCCAAAGAAAAAAAACGAAAGGGTAAATAATCCAACAAATACAGATTCTAATATGGACACTAGTGAAATAGACGAGATAAATGTTTCCAGAGAAACTGCTGATGGTGATGTATGTATCTCAGAACTAGTAAGGGCTAGCAAAATTTCAAAAACGTCAATAGAAAACACTGAAATGAAATCAGAAGAAACAATCATAGATGCAGTGTCTAGAATAACGGCTAAGCAAAATATTGTCAAGCTGATGAATAAATCTGAAATTTATGATTTACAAAACAAATTCGTACCAACAGCAGGTCCCTCTAATAAACCCGTTGATTGTGACAACACGGAAATGGGTAATTCATCAAATAACGAATTAGAATTATCACCTGATGGTAATGAACTAGGTATAGTTAGCTTTTATAATGCATCTAAAATGTTTGACGATTCTTTTAATCAAACATTTTTACAAGAACAGACAAATTGTGATGACTGTTCTGATATTATTGCAAATGAATATGAAAAACAAGAAGACTATGACAAATTTAAAGATACGGAACTAAAATTAGATGTATCAGTAAACGAAAAACTAGACACTGGCATTAAAATTTTTACTCCAACCGTAAAGCCACCAACTAAAAATGAAATGGAAGCTAAATATAAAATCCCAAAAACAAAACAGGTTCAACCATTTTTTTCTGATTATAAAGATGTTGGAGATAAAGTAGAAATCGGCCAATTGGTTTTAAAATTGCACAGTAATTTGTCACGCGATCAAAAACCGTTTGAAAAAGTATTGGAAACTGAAAGCATTGAAAATTGGAGACAACTATTATTTCTACAAAAGTATGCAACACAAGACGACTACAAACCAGACACGCTGAGAACATTGTTAGCAGGAAATTCAAGATATGTTATACAGCCTGTTGTGAGACCTCCAACGAGTGAGCAAGTAAAGAAATGGATAAATGAACAAAAAGCTCTCCAACTATTGTCACAATTTAGCTCAGAACAAGCAATTTCCAAAAACATGGATGATTTCAATAATTCTCAAGCTTTAGGTTTAAATGAAGATGAAATTAACAGTAGTATCGTAAGCGTCGAAAATTGCGAAAGTGTGAGATTCTTTTTTGTTTATTGCCAATACAAATTAAGTGTAAATTTGTAACACTTATAATAATTTGCATTTTCATACAATAATTCATTAATATTTAATTTATTTTGCAGGGAAAACCAGATAACAGTTTTCAAATAACATTAAATACTGACGGATCTTTCCTTTGCTTTGGAAATACTGATAACTGTAAAGATAATAATTCCTGCGAAGTAGCCACAGTGAACGTAAATACATATTATAATTAAATTGAAAAATATTCCAACTCGATTAAAAACACCTTAATTAATTATAAAAATGTTGTAGGCGGACTTTCTCACTTCAATGGTTATTGAAGTCCACACTTCTGTGAGAGGTGATATGCATCCAGATCCGGCGGTAGATCCAATAAAAGCCGTGTTTTACTCTGTTATCAATGACTGCCCGAATAATCATTTCCTAAAAAAATCTTTAACGGGAATCATTGTGGTCGATTCAAGTTCCCGAAAATATTTAGATGGGTGCGTATTCAATGTTCCTGTAATCTACATTAGTAATGAAATTGAAGCCATCGATGAAGTAATTAAATTAGTAAACCTACATGATCCAGACATAATGTGCGGTTATGAAATAGAAATGAATTCTTGGGGATACGTATTGGAAAGAGCCGAGATTCTTGGGTTGGATGTTTTAAAAGATTTATCTAGAATTACCGAGAAGAACAGACAAAAACGTTGGATGAAAAATGAATCCGATTACGAAGGTAGAATTATTGGGAGAGTTATATTCAATGTGTGGCGTTTGTTTCGTCACGAACTGGCATTATCAAGCTACAGTTTCGAGAATTGTATGTACGAAGTATTGAATGAACGAGTACCGTCATACAGCTATGCGCAATTGTCGGATTGGTGGTGCGACGAATCGAAAATGCTAAGATGGATTCCCGTCGAGTACTATTTGACCAAACTATCGGGTACAGTCAGAATGCTACAGAAATTGGATATCATAAGTGAGTGCTTAGTAAATATTTAGCTATCCTTCAATTAAATTGTGTTGTAATATTGAATAAAGTGAATACGTGAGTGTCCTCCTCCTTGCGTCGAATTCCTCATTGCTGAGGGTCGTGACCACCCTTTTGTATCACCTTCGCACGCACGATCTTTCTCCATCCATTTTTGTCTCTGGCGGTGTGGAGGGCGTTGTGAAACGTGGAATCAAGAGCGGTGCGGATCTGGTCGGACCAACGTATTGAGCTGCGTCCCCGAGGTCTTTTCCGTAAGTGTATACGTAAGTATTAACTTATGGATTTTCTTTTCAAACAGATAGAACGTCGGAACTGGCCAGATTGTTTGGTCTGCAGTGGTGGGAAGTTTTGTCCAGAGGATCACAGTTCCGTGTCGAATCTCTGATGCTGCGAGCGGCCAGACCTCTCAATCTTATTGCTCTATCCCCAACTATAAAACAGAGATCTACCATGCGAGCCCCTGAAACTTTGCCTCTTATATTTGAACCGGGTATGTTAAAGATTGGTATTAACTATCAGAAACAGATAAAATAGTACGATATGCACAGTTTTTTTTTTTCTTTTTTTCCCTACCTAATCGTGGGAGGTCCCCTAAATAAGTGCAGTAGAACGGCCTCGAGCAGGGAGAGAAGGCGGGACATCGTGAGACGCACCAAGTCTGCCCCTTCCAACACTACATGACGATCACGACCACTCAGTGACACGATTGAGAAGAAGAAGAAGAATCGTTGGTAGCCTAAGGGGCTATTCCAACTACGCCCGGACGGGTAGGTGAGCTCACGAGCTCAACCTGAGAGAATTGCTAACACTAGCCCTAGCAAGATTAGTGCTCCGCTGAATCTACTACCAGATCGGAATCAACGACCCCCTGAGAAGACCCTGCCTGAAACTCACTGAGTCGGTACAAAGTTTAACTTAACCTAAATCGACGAAGTTTTGTTTCAGAATCTCGATTCTACTCGGATCCAGTGATTGTCCTAGATTTTCAGAGTCTGTATCCTTCGATGATGATTGCCTACAACTATTGCTTCTCAACGTGTATCGGTCGCGTGCAGAATATTAATGGGTATTTTATTATTGATTGATTGGGTATTTGAAAAGCAAATAATAAATATAATATGGATGAAATTAAAATTTCCAGCGAAACGGCCTATGAGTTCGGGGCATGGCGCTTAAGGATTCCTAGATCAAAGTTAGAAGCTCTTGTTAAAAACTCCCTAATACATTGGTCGCCGGTTGGGATTGGATTTGTTAAAACGTCGGTTCGGAGAGGCGTACTGCCAGCGCTTTTGAGGAGAATACTCGCTGCAAGACAAGCAGTTAAGAAAAGTATGAAAATGCAGAAAGATGAGGCAGTAAAGAAAGCGATGCATTCCAGACAATTAGGTTCGCTATAAATAAATAATACAGTTCCAGATATTAAATTATATAAATTAGATAATATTATAAACTAACGACCCACCCTCACTTCGCTTCGATAACATTAAATTTTATTAATGATAGCTGAGTCTCGCGATGTTACCCGCGGTTATTGTCGTACCGCGGGTGTCGCCGCGGGGTGAAGCTAGTCTAAAAAAAGTAGCTTAAGTTACTCCTATCATCAGCTACCTATCAGTGAAAGTCTCGTCCAAATCTGTCTTTTAAATCTGTCCAATTTATTTATTTGTATAGATATATAACCATTTGAACTTGATGTTTACAAAATTTAAAACTAAATCGAATTACAGGTTTAAAATTAATAGCCAACGTGACATACGGATATACAGCTGCGAACTTCAGTGGACGTATGCCTTGCGTGGAAGTCGCCGATAGTGTGGTGGCTAAAGGCAGAGAAACGCTTGAAAGAGCCATAAAATTAGTTCGGGAAAATACTACTTGGAATGCCAAGGTCTGTCAACTATTTGTTAATAGTTTATTTGTATCTATAATATTAATATTATAAAGCTGAAGAGTTTGTTTGTTTGAACGCGCTAATCTCAGGAACTGCTGTTCCGATTTGAAAAATTCTTTCAGCGTTAGATAGCTCATTTATCGAGGAAGGCTATATAACATCACGCTACAAGCGGAGCACCAATAAAGAATGTTTCAAAATCGGGATTTTTTTCCCTTTTGCTTGAGAGCTTCCGCTGCGTGCGCTGCAGAAACGGTTAAAGTTTCGCTAAAATAATGTACGACAGAATTGTTCCCCTTTAAAATATCTAAAAAAAGTCCGTGACAGCATATGTCTATATGTTAAGGTTGGCTCACTATAACGTTTTTTTATGCTAACCAAATTTGTTCTAAAATAAAGCATTATTTGTGTACTATTCCACGCGGACGATATCGCGGGCAAAAGCTATTTAGAGTTAAAGTTACATTATTTTGTATGATTTCACGTAAAGTAATAAGTGGCAATCAACTAAATGACGCTGTAGGTAACTAGCCTGATTGTAAATGCTAAATGTCGCTTATGGACATCGGCAATAACCCTAAAACTACGTCCTATGATAGGAATGTGACACGGTTTCGTCATTCGATTCTATTATTATCAGTTAGTTAAAACTGAGAAATTACTTTTTGAACCAATACGCTCAAATTAATAAATTGTAATTTTTTTGTTGTTTTTGTCAAATTTCGTGTATGTAATGGATTTGTTGCCCTCCAAACAGGGACTCATGATTGCTTCATGGTGAAAAAGTCCATATTATTAAACCCGGTTATATTGCTAATCACTTTTATTTGCATCAAGTTTGGAGAAATTATGTTATTACTAAGTAGTTTTCACACATATTTTTACAAAACAAACTGGTCTGGTCTGAAAAATCTGACGAAGCATGTTGCGGATAATAACATGTACTTTTAGGTTAGGAATATTGTGTTCTTTTTTTTATAATGAATAAAGTAAACAAAACAAACTATCTGACTATTTATTGATGGGTTATAATTTTATTTTTAGGTTATATACGGTGACACTGATTCAATGTTCGTGTTGGTGCCCGGCAGGAGTCGTTTAGAAGCATTCGAAATCGGTCAGCAGATAGCCGATGCTGTGACTGCAGATAACCCTCCACCAGTTGCACTTAAATTAGAAAAGGTATATAGAGGTCTTCTATAAGAAGAACTGATGAAAACAATACCCAAAAAATTAAAATATTTTTTTTATTTTCAAACAATATTTCAGCCCTTGGGTACCAAAAAGTATGTTTTTTAGAATTAATTTCGAGTCGTACCACAACCATTTACGCCATCTAAAGTCGTCATAAGTAACCACTAACTAGTAACCGTAAAGCACTCGAAATGTTGTGAACCGCGAAATCAATATCAGATCAATCATCAATACTTCTTTAATAGACAACATAGATTTATTTTCTTTTTCTTCACCTTATCCCACTATAGTAGAATTATTTTGTCCGTGCAGTTTGGGTCATAATAATCGGAGCGGTGAACCGAGTATTTCGCTCTCTCTTCCACTCACAAGCCTTATGGACGGGCATAGTGATGCGCATTATTGTTGTCGATAAGCGTTATCGATAGTGTATTTAGTTTTGTCATTTTGTGGGTTAGTGATAAAAATAAAAGAAAAAATCACCAATCGAACACTTACACCACATATCGCCGCAGTAAGTTAAGGAGAACGGCGGAAATTAACACTTTGTAACTTTTCGGGATCTATTCTTATTTCAGTGATAAAATTTAACACATTGTTAATAACAACACGTGCAAATATTATTTTGAATAAATTCTGCCGTTTTGATACAAAACAAAGGAGTAGCCATTGTGTCACTAAAGAAATTCAGAGAACGAATGCATAAAAACACATTTCTCTTCGACATAATGTACTATAATTCGCAGGTAAGTACAAATGACTCATAACAATGCCTCACCACCCTTCGTATACCACCCCGCCGCCGTGTACCTGCCTTCGATGACTCATTTGTTTTTATCTATAATGGCGTTGCGCCCGCGCAACATGCTCACCGCCCTAGCCGGGCTGTTTTCTGACCCAGACTGCACGAATAAAATAATTCTACTATAGGTGGGGTCGGCACAGCTAATTTTTCACTTCCATTCTCTTCTATCAGCTGTCAGCTCAACACTCACTCCTCTCTCTCTCATATCGTCATTCACACACTCCATCCATGTCTTCTTCGGTCGACACAACAAGCAACATAGATTTATAAAATAGGTATATCAACCGTGCATTCTGCAAACGAAAAAACGCTACGTTGGCTTTATGTTCGAGAGTCCCGATCAAGAGAAACCCACGTATGAAGCAAAAGGAATAGAAACAGTCCGAAGAGACGGCTGTCCCGCTGGAGTAAAGGTAACGCTACTAATTGTTATTACATTCAATTTAATCTTTCAAGAATGTCGTTGATTTCACAACAACAAAAATGTCGATCATAGCTTATTCTACAACAATGTTTTAAGCTTGACCAAGTGAAATTCAAAAGTCGTCGTGGCCTAAAGGATAAGACCTCCGGTGCATGCACCGATGTTCGAATCCCAGGCGGGTACCAATTTTACTAATGAAATACGTACTCAACAAATGTTCACGATTGACTTCCACGGCGAAAGAATAACATCGTGTAATAAAATCATCTCGTTTTTACCATCGCACCGCCCGCCACCGGAGTAGAGTTCATCCATACTACCTGGAGCCACTGCGGTCATCCACAGTGCGTTTCCAGAGATCTTTTTTGCCACGTACCATCCGGCTATGGAATGAGCTCCCCTCCACGGTGTTTCCCGAGCGCTATGACATGTCCTTCTTCAAACGAGGCTTATGGAGAGTATTAAGCGGTNTATGGAATGAGCTCCCCTCCACGGTGTTTCCCGAGCGCTATGACATGTCCTTCTTCAAACGAGGCTTATGGAGAGTATTAAGCGGTAGGCAGCGGCTTGGCTCTGCCCCTGGCATTGCTGAAGTCCATGGGCGACGGTAACCACTCACCATCAGGTGGGCCGTATGCCCGTCTGCCTACAAAGGCAATAAAAAAAAAAACAATTCCGTAAAATTATAATTTGCATAATTACTGGTGGTAGGACCTCTTGTGAGTCCGCGCGGGTAGGTACCAACACCCTGCCTATTTCTGCCGTGAAGCAGTAATGCGTTTCGGTTTGAAGGGTAGGGCAGCCGTTGTAACTATACCTGAGACTTTAGAACTTATATCTCAAGGTGGGTGGCGCACTTACGTCGTAAAGTCAATGGGCTCCAGTAACCACTTAACACCAGGTGGGCCGTGAGCTCGTCCACCCACCTAAGTAATAAAAATAAATAAAAAAACGCCAAAGTATCAAAACATAACATAATACGTTTTAGCTTCTACGTCAATCCTTGTGTGAATTATTTACCCATGGCGATATGTCGGTGGTGAAACGTCTAGTGAAGGCCACGCTGTCCCGTCTGGCGGAGACCTCGCTCCCGGTACACGAACTCTTCTTTACGCGCGAATACCACGGACAGGCTGGGTACAGGCCTGGAGCTTCTGCGCCGCCAAACGAAATTGCGAAGTGAGTTGAACTCTTTCGATATTAAAAAAAAGGTATTATACGCACTTCCCCCTGTTTATTATAAATTTTTTTATTGCCCTTTTATGCAGACTATCATACGGTTCACCTGATGGTAAGTGGTTACCGTCGCCCATGGACTTCAGCAATGCCAGGGGCAGAGGCAAGCCGCTACCTACTTTTTAATCGATTCTCCAAACCTATGCATTCGTTATCTAATGGAATCTCTTTGACGACTTATCGGATCTTTATTTTTCATATCTAGGATAGAGGTAAGGAATACCATATTGTATAGGGGACAAGATGAAAAAGTGTCCACATGTAAACAGCAAGATATTGTTGAAAGAATAACGGAAATGGCGCTTTTTTTTGTCATGCTATCTATGTCAGCTTTACCCTAGCGTGTAGGTGAGCCCTCGGGGCTCAAACCCGAGGTGTTGCTAACACTGACCCTAGCAAGAGCAGTGCTTCGCAGAATCTAGCGCCGGATCGGAAACGCGACCCATTCCCAACCGACCAACCCGACCCAAATCCGGCGAAAAACTGTGTGGGCTATGTATTAATTTACTCGTCGAGCCCTTCGTCGCAAGCGACGGGTTCGGCGAGGACGGTGACCGGTGCTTGAGGTACCTAAAAGCGCCGTTAATGGATCGGGAAGATCCATAATGAGGTGCTTAGGGTGACGTCGAATATTTACCATTCGGTACACAGGATCGGGTATGTAAAATAGTGCTAGTGTAGGAAGTGGAAAGGATATGAATATAGCAGTATTAAACAGTGTACAGTATGTGGGATTGAAGTGAAGTGTAGTAATTTATGCCGCCGTTTTTTAAATCTTTCCACATGCTACTTTTGCGCCACCTTAATTAACTCCCTTCCTGCGAACACTTTTTAATAGACTGAGATGGTGTTTCTTACTTCTACCCTCCATAAGTTTCCAGATCGTCGTTTGACGTGCGTGACGCAGCTGCCAATCAATAAGAAGGGAGGTGTGTGTAGTTTTTATTAAATTATTCTTGTTTTCAGACGTATAGCTATGAAAGACCGTCGTGCGATACCAAGGACAGGCTGGCGGGTATCCTGGCTAGTTACGTGCGGAGCGCCCGGCGTGCCGCTGGTGCGCTTGGCTCGTACTCCGCAGGAGCTGACCCGCGATCGCTCGTTACGACCCCACGTGGCGTACTACGCGACTCGCGTACTCCTGCCGCCCCTACATCGCTGTCTATCGCTCTTGGGCGTTGATGTATTTAAATGGTAAGTTGAAAAACGAACATTCGCGATTATCAAAGTCATAGAAGTGATTGTTTGATGGGTTCTAACCGCTATATTTAGTTAGTGGGCCCCTGATATTTCACTGCTGTTTTAAGCGCCACGATCCACTGGTGGTAGGACCTCTTGTGAGTCCGCACGGGTAGGTACCACCACCCCGGCTATTCCTGCCGTAAAGCAGTAATGCGTTTCGGTTTGAAGGGTAGGGCAGCCGTTGTAACTGAGACCTTAGAATTCATATCTCAAGGTGGGTGGCGCATTTACGTTGTAGATGTCTATGGGCTCCAGTAACCACTTAACAGCAGGCGGGCTGTGAGCTAGTCCATCCATCTAAGCAATAAAAAATAAAATAAAAAAGATCCCGTGAGCTACTTACTACTCAATAGTCTACTTACGATCATTGAACACTGAGGATGCAAATACATATTATAAAATTTCGGACGCCATCTTTCTTTTGCTTCATAATTAACTGAATGGAATCCGAAACGGTGCTGTCTATGTATTACTTTTCCATATCACAGCTCAGCGTAGAAATTGCCTAATGATTTAAAGGTGGAACGAGCTTGGCTACAACCGCACAGCGCAACAACGAGAGCAGACGCAGTCCGGTGGCATCGCGAAGTACATGTCCCGCGAGCGGTGCGCGGTGTGCGGCGTGCGCACCAACGTCCGCAGCGCCGTGTGCCCGCAGTGTGCGCACACGCAGCGCGCCTGCGTCGTGCTACAGACACGTGCGAACAACGCTGCCACCTACTTAGACTCCTGTTACTCGGTACGCGACTGTGTTATCACTACATAGTATAAAACAAAGTCGCTTTGATAAAGTTACGATAATTTTTATTATTTATTTATCTATGTTTCTTGACTTTTCCGCCATATCACTACATAGTATAAAACAAAGTCGCTTTCTCTGTCCCTATATCCCTATGTATGCTTAAATCTTTAAAACTACGCTACGGATTTTGATGCGTTTTTTTTAATAGATAGAGCGATTGAAGAGGAAGGTTTATATGTATAATAACATCCATTAATTAGTGGAGATATCAATAATAAATTACAGTTTCCGAAGCGAAGCGAGGGCGAGTCGCTAGTATCATGTAAATAGTAACGTAAAGTGGAGGCGACCTCACGGTCACACGGTAAGCAGTGATTACCAGAGCCTAAGAGCACCACAGTGTGACTGCGCTTTTCATTTTCAGTGGATGACACGATGCAATGTTCCAATTGCTTTGGAGTAACACGTGGCCTTAACATGTACTAATACAATTTATCTGACTACAGACCCACAAATAGAAGGGATGACATAAAGATCAAGCATCGTCCCATACACTATTTCTGCCTTTTTTCATATTATAAACGTCATCCAACGCCACCGCAGTACATTGCTTATTCCAAAGTAGCAGTATTAAAGTAGATTTTGAATTTAAAGATCAATTTTGGCTTTCTTCAAATGCATTACATCTCAGTTTTGCATTTTACACTTGAGAATCAGCTTCCATTCAGATTAATACTCACTATAGAACGATAAAAAAATCCGAATTTAATGTAATTTTATATTTAGGTAATTATTTTACAAAATTACAGATATGTAGTTCCTGTTGTGGCCACACCGACACTGAGAAATGTCAAAATGTGGAATGTCCAGTTCTTTGGCGACGTTCAAGCGCATGTGAAAGATATTCTCAAATGACGGAATTGCTAACTCATTTACCATGAAACAATATAAACCAATAATTATGATTCTCAACATGATATTATTTATACAAATATGATATTGTACACAAATATTTGATAGTAACGATAATTTTTATTATTTATTTATCTATGTTTCTTGACTTTTCCGCCATATGATATTTATGTGTGCAAGAGTATGTATTGAGGTTCGAGCAGAAGAGTATAATATGCAGTGTACGGCCGGTGTTTATTTTTTATTGAAAGTATTATCTTTGGTTTTCGGGCCGTTGACATCATTAAATGCACTTTTATGGTTGATCTCGCATTTTTACTGTCATTATATTATTTCCGACATTTCTAATAGGTACTTGACAGTTTTAGAGATCACGCTCGTAAACCGTAAAACTAGTTTTTGCTGTAATGTAGTTACCAATTATCAGTTTATATTTGTATTAAATTATTTTTTCTCATAAATTAAATTACACCATGACATGGGGTAAATTGGGATCCTGGGGTAAATTGGGACAAACCTGCGGAAGATTCTCAAAGTACCTGTAGCACGGAATCTACCTAATTTTGTTTATGTTAATATTTATCAATGTATAGAAGAAAAACCAAGTTAACTATAGAAGTACTAAATATGAGTTAAGTTGGTCCCAAAAATTCGTCAAATTAAATTGAAAATAGTGGTTNGGGTAAATTGGGACGGCCATTATTTTACCGATTATTTCTTTAAAATTAATAATTAAAATTATGTAACGGTTTTTATCACCTAGGTACGTTCAAGACTCAACTTATTTCTTTGGTTGAGCAGTGACTATTTAATTGGAACTATTTTAAAATTCAATCTGAAGGTCGATTTTGTCCCTATTTACCCCATTGTACGGTACCTTTTTTATTCCTCACGGGGGCTCCTCGGCCGCAACCGTTGATTTTATTTCATTCAAGTTCATCCCACGAAAACATTCAGACAAATAATCTTTATTTCATTTCGCTCCATTTCAACAATTTTGGACTTATAACGAATTTAAGATTGGACTGTCTGTCTGGACTTTATAAATTAATTGAGACATTGAGAACAGACTATAACAATGGTGAAATTGTCTGAATGAATGAAACTGACTGTTCTGAAATGAAATGTGTGCATTTAGAACAGGTGAAATAGTGTCCAATAGTGATCATTCTGGAAGAACTGGTATATGAACCTGAAGAAATATAAAAATAACAAACAATTCATACGACTTCGCATTCCCACCAAAAGTTCATAATACAATAACAAATTACCATAGACCTACATAGTATATATAGGTATATATATAGGTTTCACACTTCAGTACAAATTACATGGCATAAGTATTATTGACAAAGAATGACGGAACGTGTGGAATTTATAGCTCGTAGTCTAAGATTTGTTTAAGGCTTAAAGGTCTCGTTACCAGACCATTAAAAAATTCAAGTATTTTTTAAAAATGTTTTTATTTACTGCTTAGGTGTGTGGACGAGCTCACAGCCCACCTGGTGTTAAATGGTTTCTGGAGCCCAAAGACATCTACGACGTAAATACCCCACCCACCTTGAAATATAAGTTCTAAGATCTCAAGTATAGTTACAACTACTGCCCCACCCTTCAAACCAAAACGCATTACTGTTTCACGGTAGAAAATAGGCAGGATGGTGGTACCTACTTGCGTGCACTCACAAGAGGTTCTACCACAAATGGAGGTCCCATCACCAATTTACAAGCTATACTATATTTACGTGCCATCTAGGTACAGCTCGACCAAGCTAAGTTTGCACCTCGCATTGATTACATCACACTGCCGCTTAGGTACGGTCTGAAAAAAGGACTCACTATGACTTTAAAAATGTAAACAAATGTTTGTTAGATTTTACTTTGCATTTATTGTTTTTAATAATATATTATACATAGGTACATTAGAATATAGCGATATCGGGTTTTTGTATTAAGAACACCCGGGCGTTCTTGCACTTTTTAAATTTGTATCCCAATTGCTCAGTAATAATTTTCCTTTATGTTTCTTTATCAGGATTATGTTTCTCCCTTCACTGTGTATCACCTTTCCTTTTATTTTGTTGCCCACAACAATCCTCTCGAAGTAAAAAAAAATGAACGTTAAGCGTTCAGTAACAACAGTTCAACAAAAACTTAACAAAAATAGTCCAATAATATAACTAAACTTCAACAAAAAACCTAACAAGAACAGTTCAAAAATTTAAAATTCAACGTATAGGGAGACCAAAACTCGTATGATGCGTGTCGGCGACAAAGATGCTAACCATACTGACGCGACAGGGCGATCGCGGGAAGGTGAGCGGGGAAGCGGGTGGACCACCGCATTCCAGCGAGGTGCAAACGTGGCTTAGTCGAGTTGTAGATATCTACTAAATACCTAATTTATTAATTTGTGATATTAATCTATGCTATAAACTTCTTGGCGGGAACGCGAGGAGTGAAGTTGTGTGATTTTTTTATTTTGTCTATTTAGTGTTTCTTCAGTTGTAAATGTGTAATACGGCGGTTTATTAACTGTTTAGTATCTGTGAAAGTGCACAAATGTGGGAAAATGAAACAAAGCCGCTAAACGTAACTTCTCAGGATCCTCCAAAAAGTCAACTGAAAAAGTCTCAGTAAATGACCACCATTTTACTGAGATTATATTTCATTTCGTTTTCATTTCATTTCATACCATATTTCATATTAAACAACTTAATTTCATTTCATAATATCATTCTTCATATAAAAAAGATTTCATTCAAATTATTTAATAAAAGACTTGACCTAAAGGTCTTAGTTACCAGGTCATAAAATCCCTAAAAATTGGTTGTACGAGGGAAGGGTAGGTAGAAAGATACAAAAAATAGTTTCCAGTTCGAATTTATTAAGTGTTTAATCTATGCAGTTTCCAAAGTTTTCTGGTCAAAATGGATAAAAACACAAGTTTAATCAATCAGATTCACAAGTGCTTACTACCAAAACTTTCTAAAGGAATAGATGAAACAGAAAATCCCATTGAATATGAAATTAGACTTAAAAACCTAAGAGACAATCTGGATAAACTAAATATTTTATTGAATGATATAGATCTCAGGGAATGTCCTGTTAGCTCTACAATATTGAGTAATATCATAATATTATATGAAGAAATAAAAAGTAATGGTAATTGGAATACTGAAGAATGCAAAGAGTACATAAAGCCTTTAGATAAATCTTTTGAAATTTTATATGGTTTCCCATTAAATCAAATCTTGTACATAAATATTTTTGATAAGAAAGATATTTTCAATGTATGCATTAAAATTCTACATGAAAAAATAACTGTAGACAGTCTAAAGAAGTATCCAAGCCTTGTAGAAGTTTATTCTTCATTAGTAGAAAAAGTAAAGGTAAGTAAATCAATACAAAAATCTCTTTATTGTAGTTGTTTTATTGAGTATGCCAATGAAGATATAAATGTAAATTAAAGTTTTCATATTTTAGGAATATGATGTTGATGTTAATCCGAGTACAGTATTACCATTATCTTTAATATTAATGGATGATTATTTAGAAAGCAATAAACTGAAGGGATTACGGTGCTGTTCAGCAACATTGAGGTGTTTGGTAAGTATATTATAATCAGTTTGCTGTAATTATATAATGTAATGTAAAATCTTCTACATGTCACAAGATCTCTTAGTAGGTATTGCTTTTTAGACAAAATATATTCAATACAATTCCTGTATCAGCAATATTCATAAATGTAATTTAAAGACAGCTTAATTCTGGCTATATAGCCATATAGTATATACTAATGTACTGAGATCATTTACTTTATGCAAGAATTCATGGGAAATTTTCTATAGAATAATGGAAATTATGCCTCTATAATTACCAAGTTGAATTTAATAAATAAGATTTTCATTACCTTACTGTAACCAAAACTGAAAATTGATAGATTTCATTCTGAGGAGAGAATTAGGGAAATTTAAAAATTGCTATGAACATTTTTTAATTGTTGCAATATGATTAGAAAGCAGTTCCCTAAGGAGGTATACAGTACATCCAAAGTGGTGTCTAAAATGCTCCAAACATTCTGCATCTTCTAACTGTTGTAAAATGTAATCTGTAATCTTTATAATGACTTAAAAGTAATTATTTTTTTACCTGCATATTCTCATATTAAGCAATCAATTTAAGCAAAACATTGATTTTTTTAACCCATCACATGGGGCGAATTAAGGTATAATTAATTATACATTAATATATTAAGGAATAATTATTCAATCTAAGCATAGAGTTTATGTTCAGGAATTCTATCATTACAATTTCGGCTTCCAGAATATCAGATTTATTTATTTTCAGACAACAGAACATTTTATGCAAGGAAATTATTATGAAGTAATATATTGTAGCCTTAAAAAATTAACAACTGAGAAGAATATTGAAATTACAAAACTCGTCTTTGAATGCCTCTTACAATTACTACAAGTTCTGCCTTCTGACCCACAGGTACCTTTTTTCAAATATTTTTCTAACATAAATAAGGAAAGAGAACATTCGTGAAGACGAAATGAATTAGGAACCTAAAATAAATGGATACTATTAATATGTTGTTATATTAATAGCATGGGTAGGCCTCCCACTAGGTGGACCGACGACCTATTGAGGTTAGCGGAGATCCGCTGGATGCAGGCAGCGCAGGACCGGTCTTTGTGCGAGGCTTGGGGGAGGCCTATGTCCAGCAGTGGACGTCCATGGGCTGATAGAATAGAATAGAATAGAATGTTGTTTTGGTACGATCATATTATTTCGTACAAAATGATTTTAAAATTATTTCAATTATGATTGAGTATTTAGTATCAATATTTATCTCGATTTAAATTCACTTTCTTGTTTATTAACATTCAAAATGGAGTTATACTATAATTAGATTTGGCTGTATGATCTATGACTTAGAATAACACTACCCAATTGTCATGAGTATCTTAAAATATGATTAAGATTAGGTTAAGTTATGAAGAAGGGGCCAGGGAGGCGGATCTCGCCCAAGCCCTGGCCCTCTAAGTGCTTCGGGTTCTCCTCACATGTTGGTTTGGAGCCCGGCGAGAGGGCGTAAGAAGACGACGTGCAAGCTGCTCTGCACGCGTTTTACGCAAGAGCATCCGGTTGATGAAAGGCCGGGTATCCTCGACCAACGTTGGTTCTGACCCAGCGGGGTATTCCGTAGGATAACCCACTCCAACCGGCGCTATCTAGGCGGGCTTCGGATAGCCTGCCGACCGAGAAGGCTGGTGGTCGTAGCGCCGATACCCGCCGGTCCGGCGTCCCGATGGGGAGGATGATGGGAGAGATGTGCCCCGCACTAAACGCTTTGCTTTCCCTTCTTTGCCTTTTCATGAGTTCTGTCTCATGCGAGGTTCAGACGTGGATATTGAGCGACAGGAGGTTTTAGTCAGTTCGACTCTGACATTCGCTCGACAAGAAAAAGTAATGTAAAATATAATAAAATTATCTAGTACTGTGGAGAGTAGTGATGAGTCTCAGACATGCGTTCCATGTCGATGGACGGGTTAGCAATTGAGACTTCGTCTCAAGGCGGGTGGGTGACGCTATTTACGTTGTGACGTCTATTGGCTCCAGTAGCCATTTAACATTAAGTGGGCCGTGAGCCCGTTCTCCCACCTACGCAATAATAATGAAATTGAATAACATTTTATTTCAGTATCTGAAACTAGAAGACGTATATGCAGTAATTTTAGATCAATTGTATATAACAACGAATCTCTATAGGAAAGCGGAATGTTTTAAGTTTACCAAATGCATTATACAGATGCATGGTGTGAATTGTGTCAGTAGAAAGATGTTTTTGTCTATCATAATAGATAACCTTGATGCTTGTACTAATGATGCTGTTGCCGATATATTACTGTCGGAGACTTTGGAGGTAAGGAAAATATTTGTTGACTATTGTAATTTAATTTGATAAGTATTTGAATTGATTTTTCTATTACACTCAAGCTGGTAGGCAATCATTAACGTTTAAAGTAAAAAAAAACTTACTATATAGGCTATAACCCACATTGTTAGAAGTACAACCCAACTTCTTCCGTTCGAACCATTTCTAGCTCTCTTACAGTAGCAACGATTGGGATCTCTGGGTTTACCCACGAAGTATTTTTCTCGTTTACTCTGTCGATTAATAACTTCCAAATATTCTAAATCGCAAATAAACTTTATAATCCCTTTTTTTAATAGAAAATTACATGCGCGTTCTGTCCAAAAACTTATATTGTATACATATGTATTCTATCGATATATGAAGATAATGGTCTTACGAATCGCAGACTTAAAACTGATAATGGCACTTACATTGAGAAGTATGAGAAACCACACACCAGGCGATTTTGTTTCTATTCCTCAAAACGGTAGAACATTTTCATGGTACTCTTTGACTTTCGAATTTATTGTATTTTTTGTGTAGGTATATTTTGCCTGAGTTGTTTTTTTCGTTGTATGATATGTATAGTGGAATCGAATATAATATAATTAGTATCTACTAGTTCTCTAATGAAGCTAAATTCTTATTTCAAAGTAGGACATACGTGTAAGAACTAAATGGAAAGATCCCTCTTACCTGATCACGACCTTGTCTTTTTTGTTCGGCTATTGGTCAGAAGATCCCCGGCTACTTTGACCTCTTTCTCATCAGTTTCTCTTGTCTATGTTTTCAGTCTTCGATACCGATGAATCGAAAAGGATTTTCAGGTCCGCCATCATCAGACTATAGTTATATTCGTCATTAATTTCTTTTCAGTGTCTCGAGACTTGGATACGGTATTGTTGGTGCATTTGGAAATTATCATCAGACCACAAAGTGCTCTCTATTCTATTCAAAGTTTTATATACATGTAAAGAAAAGGGTTTGTTGTCAAAAATTCAAAACCTAATACAGACTTTGATTTCTTTGTGTAATGTTGAAGACCAGAAAAAGATTCGGAACAGTCTTGAGATATCTCCAGAAATGACAAACCCCGACTTTATTGAAGCCGTTCAATCAATTAAAAATAAGATTGTTGTATAAAAACTTTTTTCATTAAAAGCTATGGTATAACAACTCGCTAATCAGTGGTCGTATTTTGAACCTGCACGGTTAGATACCAGGTTCCTATTCCACCTATATCTGCGCGAAGGAATTGCGTTTCAGCTTAGTGTGGGATAACCGTTGCACTACAAGTGGAGAAATCAAACTACTTCCTCAAGGTGGATGGCGGCTTTCATGATATCGTCAAAGGTGTTCGGTGACCACTCAATACCAGACTGGTATCTTAGCTGCTCATCTGCAATAATTTAAAAAGAAAATGAAGAATGCAGAATGTTGAATCGATCATAATGTTAAACTTCCATCGAGAATACTCAAAAGATAATGAAATTCACCACGGAAATGTAGAAACTACAATCACAAGAAAATGTAGAAGAAAATTAATCCCAAGTTATTGACATGTGAGAAAAGTGGTCGAATACTGAAGAAGACATACTGCTTGTAAATGAATGAATTAATTTTATTTATTTATTTATTATTATTTGAAATTTATTGTACAAGAAACAACCCAGCATAAATGTGAGTAATTTGTTCCTGCAGACGAAAGTCAGAGTAAAATAAAATAGCTTTCAGAAGAAGGAAAGTTATAATAAACATGAAGTTTTAATTTATATATACATATACCATATAATATATTTTGAAAAATTAGTACCCGCCTGGGGGATTCGAACACTGGTGCATCGCTAGATACGAATGCACCGGAACATCTTATCCTTTAGGCCACGACGACTTCAAAATGCACTATTGATGTTAGTTTGGAATAACCCAATTCCAATTTTAAAATATTAATTTACTAGAGTTCCCGCAGTAGTCGAAATTCGACTAATTGGAATTGTAAGTTTGTACACTATTATGATTGTATTTTATACTTCTATAATCACAAATTTCGCCAAGACTACACTTTAAAAAATATTAACAAAGACAAACCATATTCTATTCTCAATTTGACAACAGACGTCAAGAACAAAAGTTTGACAATAAATAATATGCATGCGTGTGTGCGTCAAATACATGGTATGTAGTGTGTGTAATGTTTTCTTTATTGATTTAATGTATTTTTATGGGTTATTTAAAAAAAAAATTAGCATTGTGCACTTCTTCTTTATATTCTCTATAAGTGTGGAAAATTTCATACTCCTCTGTCCGCGCAATTTTCGTAAAAAGGGATACAAAGTTTTTGCTTCACGTATTAATAATAATTTATAATTTTATTATAGAACCCATCTTTAGTGTCATGCTACAGGGTATGTGTTCGTCACTCTTGTTTGTCGCATTTTTTCAGTTGTGTGAATATAGCTTTTCTATAGTAAAACTTCATTAGTTGTATAAAGTTATGTTTTATTGATAAAATATAACAAGTGAATATACTCGTATTATACAAAACTTTTACATCTCTTATATCACAAAGGTTTAAAGTCTTTGACTGTATTGTCATTTTTACCTATCAACTTAAACTTAATATAATCAATTAATATTATTATTATTATTTTATGATATGGTTCCATTTGGCATGTCGGTAACGTGTTGAGCGCAAACACGGTTTTTAAGTATTTACAGATAAGTACTATAATAACATAAATGCTTTTATAAAAAAAGGTGCACATGAAAGAAGTGAAACTTCTTTTGCGGTGTGTAGCATTGTTTCATTTTTCAAACTGAAATCAAATTTCTCTTGTAACAGGGAAGGCTTTGTATAAAAGAAACGACCTAGCTCGCTTTGCCCTTTCCCTCTCTCCACAGTCGAGTGGTTCGCGAGACGCTGTCTACTTTCTCACTCTCGCCCTTCTTAAATTGTATCTTTTTTCTAGCCGTAACGAATCTGTCGCGAGTTATATTTTAATGAAGTTTCACTTCAGAAAAATAAATAACATTAGCTTGAAAAGAAGTTGTTGCCGGTATTCGATGATTATCGAGCGAGTCCTTAGGTTTTACTTATTTTAATATTTTTGTGATAATTTAAAATACCGCTCTGTAAATATTTCAGAAACTAAACTGATAACACCGATGGCCTTACAATGTAATAGTTTATATGACATCCAATAGGTGTTGCTAAACTAAATATAATGATAGTTCACATGTTACTGCCATCTACAGGAGCAGTGAGAAACTAATAACAAGCCATCTAGTGGCCGACGCCCGTAAACAGTGGTTCGTGAAATGCTGTCTACCTATTTTCTCTTCCTAAATTGTATTTTCTCTCTAGCCGTAACGAATCTGTCGCGATTAAAATTTACTCTCAACGCGTCTAAAAAATTTTCACTTCAAAAACAAAAATAATTTTACAATTCACTTCGATAACCTCTATACTTAATTGAGTAACAGATAACACCATATTTGGGAACTACACAGAATGGCAACGTTTAAGCTTTTGTAGTTACGAACTCAAAAAAAATCTCTTGTTTAACTATTGAGTATATTTAATGATTTGTTTTGTTGGTTTGCTTAAATCACACTACACCGTAGTTTTCAATAACTTTTAACTCATTTTTAAACATGTGCATACAAGATTTCATATGACTCTTGATTTATCATTTTTTCCAAAGTTTCACAAACTTCGTCAATTGAAGGTCTATTATCTCTATTATCTGACAGACATCTCTTAGCTAATTCATAAATGCCCTGTGCCCTGGTCCACCTTTCAACAACCATATCTAAAAGCTGTGTGATATCTTTATTCTCGTTCATTACTTGTTCAACATAATCTTTTATATTTAAATTTCCATTGCTATCCACAACAATTGGCTTCAAGCCTGTAAGCAATTCAAGTAGAACTATACCAAAGCTGTAAACATCCGTTTTTTTTGTTAAAGTCCCTTTTATTGCTTCCGGAGGCATGTAGGCTGATGTCCCCATCATCATACTAGTTACACGTGTAGATTCTAGTTGCTTCGCCAGGCCAAAGTCACAAAGCTGAAAAAATCAACAGAAGATTTGTTTCAATACACCCGGCAATCATTAACAAAAAAAATAACAATAAGTAAAAAAAAATTACCATTGGTTTGCAATCTTTAGTCAATAAAATATTAGCACTTTTCACATCACCGTGTATGTAAAAAGTTGTGATAGGGCTGACATCTCCATTTACTTCAATCGGCTTTACAGTGTTATGCACATACTTTAGGCCCTCTGCTGTCCCCGAAATTATCTCGAGTCTCTGGTTTTCGTTCAGTACTTTTGCAGCAATTTTTTCCATTAGAGAACCACCATCTATGTACTTGCAAACTATACATGGCGTCGGTCCATCAATAGAGTATCCAAAAATAGGTACTATGTTTTTATGTCTTAATTGCGATAAAGATTTGACTTCAGCGTTAAATAACCTTATAGCCACATCATGTTTGTAATTAAACTGAAGGTAACACTTTACTTTCTTAACAGCCAACTGTCCATATCTATTGTGAGTACCAACAAATACTTCACCAAAACCACCTCCTCCTATCTTCCCAGATAGTCCTGTCCGACCTTCATTAAGGTCTTCAGAAAAATTATTAGTAATCGCAGCTAATTGATTATAATCGAATGATATCAAATTTTCATCTTCTAATATTTTTGAATCTATAACACTGCGCATGCTATCGTCAGATAAAATTGATATGTTGTTGCTAGATAGTGATCGTCTTGTTTCCTTTAGTTCAGTAGATTGTGTCGTACCGTACGACTGTGAGGAATTAACTGATGTGCCCATCAAAGCAGAAATATTTGGCAGTTCTTCTGTTCGTAACGTTGACCTGTATGCTGAATTTCTTTCATAAGATATTACTTGTGCTGTGGTTTTGTGTCCAAATGATTTTGAATCTTTAGGACCGTTACTAATATTGTCATTACTAAAGATTATCAAAGGGTCGGCAGATTTCAGTTGTTTAGTTGTTCTGTTATGTAAATCTGGATGTTGATTTGTATTTTTAGTATCCAAATTTTGGTTGTCCTTTAAATTAACATCACTGCCATCTAATGGCATACTCTCTCCATTCAGCATAAATGTTACATTTGTATCTATTTTCGCAGCAGGGCCTTCTAAAGGTCTAGGAGGTAGAGGCTCTGGAAAGTGCACAGAAAATGTTTTTGAAAAAATATGTGTAACATTTTAGGGAAAATTGTACACAAACAACCTAGTTCTATTGGGCTATTTGTAACAAATATAAATGATACGGTTAGAGATGTCGCAATGTCGTCAGTGATATTTCCATTCAAATTAGTTAGGGGTCATTCACACACGCTCCCGGTTCAGACGGTATATTTAACCGCGTTGTTAAACTTCGCTCATCGTGATGTTGGCATCTACTTTCAATGCCGCTATGACGAACTGTATCTTTCCCGCGGTGTGGAAAGAAGCGGACGTTATCGGCATACATAAACCCGGTAAACCCAAAAATCAACCTACGAGTTACCCGATTAGCTACCTCATGTCTCTAGGCAAACTGTATGAGCGTCTGCTCTACAAACGCCTCAGAGACTTCGTCTCATCCAAGGGCATTCTCGTCGATGAACAATTCGGATTCCGTGCAAATCACTCATGCGTTCAACAGGTGCACCGCCTCACGGAGCACATTCTTGTGGGGCTTAATCGACCAAAACCGTTATACACGGGAGCCCTTTTCTTCGACGTCGCAAAGGCGTTCGACAAAGTCTAGCACGGTTTGATTTTCAAACTTTTCAACATGGACGTGTCGGACAGTCTCGTGCTCATCATGCGGGATTTCTTGTCAAACCGCTCTTTTCGATATTGAGGGAACTAGATTCTCACTGCGATAGCTCACAGCTGGAGTCCCGCAGGGCTCCGTCCTCTCGCCGCTTCTATTTAGTTTTTTACCTTATTTGCTGACGACATGACCGTTTACTACTCGAGTGGAAACAAGTCCCTAATCGCGAGAAAACTCCAGAGCGCAGCCGTAACTCTCGGTAAATGGTTCCGTAAATGGTGCATAGACATGAACCCAGCGAAAAGCAGAGCGGTGCTCTTTCAAAGGGGAAACTCAACCCGTATTTCCTCCCGCATTAGGAGGAGAAATCTCACATTCCCGATCACCCTCTTCGGGTAACCAATACCCTGGGTTAAGAAGATCAAGTATTTGGGAGTCACCCTGGATGCATCGATGTCATTCCACCCACACATAATAACAGTCCGCGACCGTGCCGCCATTATTCTCGGTCGAATTCATTTATCCTATGATCTGTAAGCGGAGTAAAATGTCCCTTCGGAACAAGATGACACTTTATAAAACTTGTATAAGGCCTGTCATGACTTACGAAAGTGTGGTGTTCGCTCACGCGGCCCGCACACACATAGACACCCTCCAATCCCTAAAATCCCGCTTTTGCAGGTTAGCCGTCGGGACTTCATGGTTCGTGAGGAACGTTGACTTACATGACGACCTGGGCCTCGAATCAATACGGAAATACATGAAGTCAGCATCGGAACGGTACTTCGATAAGGCTATGCGTCATGATAATCGCTTTTCGTTGCCGCCGCTGACAACTCCCCGAATCCTGACACGTAGGAGCCAGTCACTGTCGACGCCCTAGAGACGTCCTTACGGATTCATCAGATCCGATAACCTTTGTATTAGACGCCTTCAGCTCTAATATTAGGAGCAGGCTTAGGGACCTGTAACCGTACTCGTAGAACTCGACATAGAGTTCGACGTGCAACCTAACCCATGCATCAGCCCGCTGAGTTTCTCGCTGGATCTTCTAAGCGAGTCGCGATTCCGATCCGGTGGTAAATCATTCGCGAAGCAGCTGCTCTTGAGTTGTTGGTCTCCTTTAGAGGCGCTGGGGCAGCTGTTAGCAAATCCCTCCCTCCTGGCTGAGCCTTTGCTCGCTCACCTGCCCTGGTGAAACCGGGCCACCAGTAATCATTCAACCATAAAAAAAAATATTATACCTCATGCATGGTTTCATTTTTTATTACATGATGTTATTCCTTTACCTTGAAAGTCAATTGTGAACATTTGTTAAGTAGGTATGTCATTAGAAAAATTGGTACCCGCCTGCGAGATTTGAATATCCGTGCATCGCAAGATATGAATGCATATAGTAAAATATAAGTAATGTAATTAAGCATTTGTAATTAATTAAGCAATGTTTTGGTACACAGGTACTAGGACTTTATCAGAAAATGTTTAATGTAAGCAACTTTTTTATAATCTTTTAGTTATTGTGTATTATTTTCTATGATCAAAATCTCACAATATTAAATTGTATACTTACCACCCAAAATATTGGCAATTTCATCAGCAGCTCTATATATTTCTGCTTTCACAAGCACATCTAAGAGTGTTGCAACTGTAGGTCTGATCCTACCTGACGTACTCCATTCGTCGAAGAGAATTTCAGAACATGTTCGTTTTGAAATTTTTGCATCATCTTGTATCATCCTAATGAAAAATAGGTTACCGTTTGCTATTGTGAAATTATAGATTATTACTCCCACTTTTCATATGATATGGTAGGCATGATTTTGGTAGGCAGCGGCTTGACTCTGCCCCTGGCATTGCTGAAGTCCATGGGCGACAGTAACCACTCACCATCAGGCGTGCCGTGTGCTCGTCTGCCTACAAGAGTAATATTTTTTTTTACGTAAACCTATTACCGCCAGTTTAAGCCAGGTTCGGATTGATAAGTAAAAAATAACCAGTTGTTCAATCACTGGCTTTTTCATTTTGGGGGGCTGTATGTATGTATGAAAACTGTGTTTATATCTCAAAACTTTTTTCTGTTTAATTTTTATCTGACGAAAAGAAGGTGTTCTAACCTGTATTATTGTTTTATCCACTTGTTTTGGTTTGGAAAATGGTGATAATGATACATAGCACAATTTATACACACATATCATATACACAACTTATTACCACATTTCAGATTTTTTTTAATTTTTAAACTGATTTTAACCTGTATTGATATGATTATATTTAAGTCTAAACGAACAAATAAACAGATTTATACATCACATTTTTTATTAATAAAAAGTCTGTTTCTAGATGGAAATGACTTGTTCGTACTCAAAACAAGTACATGTTTATTATGTAAAAAATAACAAAAAGTAGTTTTTTTAATACTTTTTGTACAAAATTGTTTTAAATATAATTTTATTTTTACCTCAAATGCTCGCTGTTATACTTCCGATGAAAATGATCACTTTGAGGATTTGTAGGTATCCAAGCCATAACTTTCTGCCACGAATCATTTATCTCCAATATATTAATAATATTATAAAGTGATCCCATTGGTAATTTTCGCAACTCAGTATTTCTTTCCATTTTGTATTATAAATTAAAAAAGAAGATAATTTATGTAAGCGTAGTAATCACTTTACTCTGACTTTGTGAATCACTATTCCCTTGTACTTAGTTTTTCCTTTTCCAGATCTTAAAATAACATTGTAAACAAGTATACATAGTTATTACACTTATACATTTCAAAAAATTTACATGCATAAAATAAAAATACCGTTTCTTTATTTTTCAATTCTGAGCTAAAATATTTCATTCTTGTAATTTTATTTTACTTTATAATTAGGGAGTAATTAATTAAAAACTAAAAATGTTGTGGTGACGTCATGTTTACGACTGTATGAAAATATTCTTTTACCTTTACGACATTGCTGATACTCTGTGGCGAAGATGTCAAAATATGTCATTGTCATTGTAAAATTTTTTTATTTTGAGTTTATGGCCTGGTATCTAGACTTTTAAGCCAAAATCATTACAAAACAAAGGCGTCAGGGTTCTCAACTGAGTTTCTCCCCCTAAACTTAGGGAAGAAACAAGTACGATGAGATTTTTATGGGTGTTATATTTTAAGAGGTATTTTTTGACTGCTTACATTTTTTCCTATTTTTTATTTCTTAATTTATTTTTGATTTAGAAAAATAAAGTTATTAAAATATAGACCCCTAAGTAACACAACTTAGCCAATCATATTTATTTTTTGACTTAGTGGCTAGCGACATCTAGTAAAGCGAGTGATTGGTATGATTGATTGTTTACTCTTCGTCTTGCTTTCATTACAATCGATTGATAAGTAAATTGTATAATTAAATATATTTTTTTATATATTCATGGACAGTTCACACAACGTCCTCTGGTCCCAAGCTAAGCGTAATTGTTGCGTTATGGGTGCCAGATTACAGATATACTACATACTTTTTTATAAATATACGTACTATGATACATAGAAAACACCCAGACGCAGTACAGATATCTGTGGTAATCAAACAAATAGTTTTCCTGTACGGGGACCGAACCCGCGACCTTGAAATGGCCGGTGTTACTACCGACACGCCACGAAGCCCGTCAGATGAGTAATAATAATTGACAAAAATGTAACGGAATATTATTTAACAATTATTCTCTTTGTCAAAATACAATCTCATAAATTACATTTTTAAATATATCTAAAAAAGATAGTGAAATCAAATGAACAAAATAATATGAGGGAGTTCGTATAGAGTCCCTTCTTGATTTCGCCGTAAAGTCGTGTTTTATGTAATTAACACCACAGTTGGAACAATATAAATTTTATTGTTGTAGCGGCATAAATAATTCTAAGTAATTACATTATATTAGTTATTTAACACATTATAAATTATTTTTACGTTTTAAATATTTGGCGGTAAAAAGATCCCGTGTCACAGACTATATTCTGTTTTCCACCTCTCGTGCGTTCCGGCTTACGCATCATAAAAAGGTGCGTACTTAAACGCCACAAATATTAACGGATTTAAAATAAACAAATAAACATATTGAAACAGCGAATATCAACAAGTATACATTGACAACCATAGTTAACAACGCTTGAATGACGCTAATCGTGAATTTCTTGTTAGCTGTCAAGTATTGTTTTTTACAAAGCAAAGTTGTCGAAGGCAGCGCAGTGCTCCGTAAACGTGACGTCATTTGGCGCCTACGTCTATTTAGAATAAAACGAAATTCATAACCAAATTCATTAATGAAAACTATCGAATTTCCTAAAAATAAATTATATGGGTCTGTTTATTTTGAATTAATTATTATAATTACTATATACTCATATTAGTATCAATTAAGATAATAATATGAGTATTTAAAAAAAATGAAATATTGTCCATTGAAGTAGGTACCTATATAGGTACTGTACGGTACCTTTGGTTCAAATAGATATTTATGTCGTTTAATTAGTCAGCAAAGGAAGCAAAGCGGAGCGACTTAAAAATCTGGATTGTAACAACAAAGGGAAAATCTTTCACGAAGTAGGTGGATTTACTCGTTAGACTGAATGTCTAAATGTTGATACTCGTAAATACTATAAAGGTCTATGCTCGTAACTTAACTTGATATCATCGTTATCAAAATTCAAGCATCTGTCAAATATTTTGTTTTATAAGAAAGCTAACGCCAGAAATCTTTGGTTAGAAAATGCTAAAGTGAAAAGTTACGTTCCAAAATCTTGCTTTATTAAGTCATCATTATTGGTATTGGGTATATGGGTGTATAACCCAAAAATACTAAATTGACTAGACCAAAAAACTGAATATTTCGCAGTTACTAGTTACTAGAATACTAGGAATCAAAAGACTGACAAAGAAGAAAGGATTAATGATCTGTGGATTGGTGGTATTGATTTTGATTTCCAGAGCGAATATTTTAAATGGTCTTAATTGATAAATATGATCTATAGTTTAACAAAATTATAGGAATATAGGAGAGTGAAGAAATAAAACTAAGTTTTATTTTTTCACTCTCCGGAATACCTAAGTAAATGAAAAGTTTGCTTTGAAATAAAAGTGTATTAATTGTGCTTTGGTAATATCACATTTTCACAATATATATATTATTATGTGTATGTGGTTGTATATTATTATGTATGTAATATAATTATCAATTTGGTTATTTTTGTAATAATTAATGCACCTACCACAGTACTCTCTACACCATCCTTGGTTGACTGGTAAAGAATACCTCGGGCATTGAGCCCGCGATTGTACCTTTGTGCAGGAAGTTTAATAAATAAATAAATGATAAATAGTGCTGTCCATCTCTTTTTTTTAATGAAAATTTAGTCACTCTCAGCATGGTAATTTTCTCAATATCATTGTTCCCAGTATTCATCTAAAATAATCTTCAATTGTTACATAAATATTTTATATGAGAAACGGAGCGAAAAGAAATTGATTTAAAATTGTAATTTATTTGGATGAAATTGACGAAATGAGATGAAATGAACGGCGCAATAAAAGTGAATGTCCAATGAAAGTGGAAATTTACTGAAAGTGTATTTCATTTTCCCAGACTTCTGCACTCACACCATGCTTAACCGTTAAAATAGCATCACTAAACAACAAATAAAAAAAATACGAATATTATCTACATTATTATTACAGTTGTTTGTTCTTCGTATTGTCACCAAAAAGATAATTTCAGTACAATCAGTTTTTTTGCTTTTAACTTTTATAACATTAAATATATATATTATACCTCCAACATAAACATCATAAACATCCAACTTCTTAAGTATCTTGAGGATCGCCAGCTGATCAGTGACCGGCAGTACGGTTTCCGTCATGGTCGCTCAGCTGGCGATCTTCTTGTATACCTCACACATAAATGGGCTGAAGCCTTGGAAAGCAAGGGCGAGGCTCTCGCTGTGAGCCTTGATATCGCGAAGGCCTTCGACAGGGTCTGGCATAGGGCANACCAAAAAAAAAAAAAAAAAAAAAAAAAATACCTTCACCCATAATAAAGAAAATTCTCTATGTCCCTATCCCATTGCCTGTTCGATGACTGAAAAAAGGTATTGTCAACATTCAACAAATTCGAATGTCATTTTGAAATACTGGGGTAGACATAGCTACTATGGTTCACAATTTTTCTCGAAAATTTGAATTACATAATTTGCCAAAAAACTAATTAACACTTGATATTCACATTTGCTTCACGATGTTAAAGTAAGTTTAAATATTGGTTTATTGTTCCGACCGCAATAGAACTGTCAATATTTTGCACAAAACATATTCTAATTTGAACTGTGTATGTAGGTTTGGCGTGAAATCTGCGTTACTTGGATCCGCAGTGTACTACACAATAGACAAAGGTGTGTGGAAAGATAGTGCTACGACAGCGGCGATATATGATGAACTTGAAAAAGGAATGTCACCATATGTCGGGGAACTAAAGAGCCAAGTTCCATACGAAGTATGTTCTTAACTCAATGAACTACCTACTTTTAATTTCTTTTGCGGTTATGTTAATTCCAATGTTTATTTAATTACAGCTACCAGCATTACCTTCTAATGACAGGATATCATATTTGTTCAAGTACTACTGGAATTGCAGTGTTAAAGCTACATTTAGATTTTTAGTCGAATTGCCTACCCATACTAGTAATGCAGCTTTCAAGACATACGACTTTATTTCATCATCTTTGGAAACTCCAGAACCACATCAAGAAAAAGATAAATGAAGACTTACTCAATAATTGTAATTTATTATTTACTTAAAATGTATAATTGACATTTCATCAGATGAATTTAGAGCTGGTGGTAATAAGAAATAAAATGCAACTTTACAAAACAGGCCACAGCTGTGGCAATTTGATTTATTAATTTTCTTGCAGTGTCAATATTTTATAATTTTCTATAGCATTCATGCATGTTGAACACAATTTTGTGAAAAATAATAATACACACTTTTTATTTTAACATACAAAATCACATTCCAGTTTAAAAAATGAAACATTCAAATTATTAACTTCGCAAAGGGAAGTATTTGTGCACAACTATATCAGTTCAGGAATGATTAATTTGATTATAATCAAATTTTACCATAAAACGTATTTGCATGTACACAAAAATAACTGCATATTTATTTACCTACAAAATGGCTACATAAAGTAATTAGTACACACTTATGTGAAAGAAATTGGACACTAAAGTTGAAAAGCTATTATGCTATAAAATGTATTCTATAAATGAAGGCATTCTGGTGTCTAAGCCAAGATCAGAGAAGATCTTGGGTTTATTTGTAGGTACAAAGCTAGATATTTATTCACATAACTATAAGTCAAGATGTGGTTGTCTCAGTAAAAAATTGCACAATTTTTGTTATTTTTGTCCATTTATATTGTGGAAAAATGTTAATATCATTTATTCCTGGGCACTTATGTATTTTTGCTAGGCAGCAGTCTCCACTTCCATGGGCTCTTCAGCTCCTGTTTTCTTTTTCTTCTTCTTGTTAGATTTTGCTGATGAATTTAGAAGGGCCTGTTTGTTAGAACAGAAAAACAATTTATTAGACTATCTTCACCTTCATAGTGATTTAAAAAAAAAAACTGATTTCACAGAATGTTGTAATAGTTCAAACTGAAATGTAAAACAAAAACAAGTCAGCTCAAAAAGATTACAAATACTTTACCCTGAGCTTGTTCAAAACACACAATGTGATATGTTATGAAAGATAGCAGGGATAATATGTTTTCTACTTTTATCATGTTGGGTCTTAATCTTGTCTAGAATCAAGTTACAGCTGTTTTTCTGAATTAAAAATAAAATAATGGTTTCTGCTTTATAGAAATTGACGTTAGATGATTAAAAAATGATACATAGCTTTAATTTAGACCTTTGTTTTCTATAACAGAATTGAAAAAAAAAAATTAAGCCCTTACATGTACCATTCTGTAGATAGCACCCTTATCTGGTCTTAGTTACTGTTCACATTACAATATTTCAATAAACAGATAATAATAGTAAACAATACTGACATTAAGTTCTGGATCCTTGATGCTGCGTTCACTCTTACATTGGCTTTTATCAAAAGGCAAGCCAGTAATACGATGTGTGCCACTAGGAAGCAGAAGAGCCGTGAACTTAAACTGTGCCACCAATTCTCCTGGACGCTCATAGAGAACCTGAATAACAATTTTAATAAGTCAGGTCAGGTTCATAGTATTATAATTAATTTTTATTTTATTTTGGCTTATTTTGGCAAACTCACTCAATATGGTGGTTACTGGAGTTGATCTTTATTAAGTCAGTCAGTCACTTGAACACACACAGTTGAAGACTATATTGTTCTGCTACATCAAATATCTTACCTTTGGACTTGAATGCATAGCGTCTTTGCACCAGAAATAGGCCTAATGCTCATATCTATTCATGTGCCCGTATTTACATATCATTTAATTATTTAGAAAAAATCTCATAAATATGATTTTGTGTAAGGAACATATTTACTTGCCAAAAGTGGCATGACTCAAAATCATCATACAGGACTTGTCACCTGCTAAGCCACAGACGATCAACATTCGTATTTACAAAAGAAAAAATAAGCTAAACCTGTATTATTCTATAGAGTTAACTGATCTATCCTGTACATTCAAGAACAACAGGAATGCCAACAATATCGAGCAGTAATAATATTAATTAAAAAAAAAAAAATTGATATTAGATAACCTTACTTCTTTGAAGTTGGTTAAAATGAAATGCTATTGCTGTTTTGAAAATATTGTTTAGATATTTATTTACCTGGAATGGCTCAATGAGTTTGTGGTTGATGCACTCAACAACACCTAACCTTGCACTTGTCTCCTTATCAAAACTGCGCAGATTGAAAGGCATGTTGCCATGTTTGTTACGAACCTGTCAATTAACCAATAAATTTATCAATTTATGAAGCAACAAATATATTCTGTAGAATTTAAATATACATTGTGTAATCAATATTATACATTTGTCATGGTACCCAAATAGATATGTGTATTTTTTTATTGGACAAATGAGATAAATTAGGACGTATAAGAATGTAAAGGTTTATTACTGTTAAGAGTTCCATACCTCACTATAGAACATTCTGGAAGCCTTTAGTTTCAATTGGTACACCTCATCAGTTTTTTTGTATATTGTACATCTGGTGTCCATTTCACGTCCCTGTAATAAACATCATTTTACAAAAACAGTTGTGAAAGCTTTTGACCTACAAGCAGATATGAATATATTATTATTATTGTGTATATGTATATTTTAATCTTTGGGTACACTTGGAGGAGATCACTCTTAGTGATGAGAGTATGAATTGTACTTTTTGTATTTAATGTTTCACATTATTATTCTTATTTTGGTACAAAAAAGCATACTTCTCTTGCTGTATATTCTTTCGCTAAATACATTGTTTAGTGTTATAAACAAATTTATAAATAAATAACATCATTGAGGCATGTATATTTTCAGAGATAATGTTAAACCTCACTTTACAACTTAGTTTGACTCTCAATTGTATATTCCAGTAAGATTGTGTTTATGGTCATTGAGAGCTTGTCTGCACATTTTAAAGTTTCCTGTTTTATTCTAATATTTTTTTACCTTAGCAAGTTTTTTTGTTTGTTAAAACTCACAATGAAAAACTTTCATTGTTCTAATATTCAGTTGTCTTTCAAACATTCAACCAGCACAGTCAAGTACAGTTGGTGAAACAGATTAGCTTAACAAAAGCTTTCAAAAGTACAAAATAGATGATAATATCAGTAAATAAAATACTGAAATATAAAAATAAGCCAGTATAAGAGTATTACTATTTTATTTCCCCTGAGTACTGCCAAAAAAGGTATAAAACCAGTCTGGAAAGAAATCAGGGTTAATCAGTTAGGGATGTTATGGGATTTTTCCCCCACATATATTTTTTTATTTAACTATACTAGAGATAGATAATTGAATCTAATAACCCTGATATTTACTCACAACTGCTTCACCAGTGGATATTAGAACATCCATAGCATACACTTCATACTTTTCAAGTGTTGCTTTTTCATGTTCTTTACGCTGTGCTTCTGATGGATTTTGTATAATACTCTTCTCTCCATCAATACGGAACTGCTTCAGTTGGTGTGAGAGCATACCCTCAATTGGCTTACAACCATATTCAGCACTTATTTTCTGAATGGCTTCAGTGACTGCATAGTTCTAAAACAATTTTTGAAAACTTAAAATGTTGCTTTGTATGTATATATTGTCACCATGCCAATTTGCAATGACTACAAAATTGGACTTTCTATTTATCAATAATTAATTTTAAAGCTTCATACTAAAGAGGCTGAAAGCTTCAACTTTGATCTGGATTTTACTTAATAAACAAAGCCGTGTCAAATATTGTCTCATCAAACTTGTGAGGTATTGAAACATTAATTTGTTCACCACAAACTTCTACTATTTTGGAACTATCATTATTTGTCCTGAAACCATAAACATATATGACTAGGGAAACTACACTTTAGAGTTGGATGATAATAAAAAATATCACAAAAAAATGACAAAATAACACCAAAGACAAAAGTATGTTTTCTTGAGAAGGATATACCTCAGTACCAGGCTTCAGGAGACGAAGAGCCGCTTCACTAGCATGATGAGCTGCCAACAAAACATCTGCAGCACGTCCAGAGACTTCACTTTCACCCACAACTACTGTATGAGCTACAACAGCTATAAATCCATCAATGTGAGCACCAAGATCTCTGGAATGTAAAACTTCATTCTCTTTTATTTGTACAGATTGTTATTGATTCAGATTCAAAATGCTTTTTGGTATTAAGCAGCTACCAGAAACCATTATGTGAATTAAGCTACAAACTTCTAGACATGAGATTGAAGTGGCAATTATTTTGCATTCAGACTCGACCACGCTGCAAACTAAAACCAGTAATTGCCTCACTGCATATGATACCGATCCATGTTGGTTCACAATATATCTTACCACAACCCAAGGATTGAATTCTTACTTTTAATCAAATATTTGAGCCTAAGACAGCCTAAAATTGCATTTTCCAGCTATGCACAGTCTACGGACTGCAGAAGCCAATTAGTTGAACCAACTAATAACTAGGTCCTAGTTACTGCCAATTTCGTGCAACATCACTTAGGTTTACTAGATCTGTTCATCTATAACAGTTATGAACTTACATCTTGGCTAAATCTCCTTTTTTCAGAATGTAATCCGGTTCGCTCGCAATGGGCGAAAAGTGACAAATGCAGTTGTTCACAGAAACGCATGTTGAAAATGCAATGCCTTTCTTGGAGTCTTTCTCCTTTTTGAAAACCTTGTTAGTCTCCTCCAATACAAGTTTATCGCCAAATTCACATATTTCTCTTGCTGATGCGTCTGGAACGCATTTTGCGATGACTTGCTCAAGGACTCCTGCAGCAAAGGAGTAATCTCAATTAATTGCATGAATAGTGTGTGTATTGTAATCTTCGTTAGAAACTATTTCGTGGTGAGGTCCGCATGGCGATGACACGCGTCCAGCCCTCCAACCTAACACTTTAAAGTACAGCAAATCACTCTTTACACTTTTTATGAAAATGTATATTTTATTAACTTACGGTTCACTATTTGTCCTGCTAACTTGTACTTGGTCACAACCAAATCCTCTGCAATCGTTTTTTCGACTTCTTTTTCGTCAGCCATTTCTCAACTTTGTGATTTTTGGCTAAAGAAAGAAATACCGAGACTTCATTGGCTGTTCAAAATGTCATTCACGTGACTTCATCAACGAATCACATAAAACATTATTGGCGGCAAGACGCCAACTAATAAATGACGAAAAGGCAAAGACTTCATAAAAAGTGTAGTATTCAGAATTATTATAATAATATATGACGTATACCTATATATAATATTATTGTATATGTTTTATATATACCATATATTATAATTTTATTGTTTGCTTTGGAGAGTGAAAAATTCAACTTGTATAGAGGTGATTAGTCGTCTCTGGAGGTTAGACATCGCAATGTAAATTTTGCCATTGGCACTCAACCTGAGGACGAAGTTTCAATCGTATTGTGTAACGGCTGTCCCACCCTTTAAGCTGCAACTCAGTATCTAAGGTTCTTAGGTTCATCCAAACAATAATTTTATTGAGACTTTATTTCGTTTGATCTCGTCTCATTTCATTTAATTTAATCTCAATATATTACAGCCTCAAATAAACCAACTTCACCTTAATAATTTTTACTTCGTATTATTTTTCAATAAAAAATAATAATAAAAAAAGTGTGTGTGTCCGCTCCGACGCACGACTGGAGTTTACTGGATATAAATATAAATTTGTGTCAGTTGAATACAGTAAAATATGGAAGTTACGTATTCTAGTGAGAATGATCCGGGAGTTGCGGAACACGTGGATGCGGTAATTAAGTAAGTCTATATAATTCACTTTTACAATTAATATATAAGTTGTCCATTCACTGATAGAAGGAATTGTTTATATTTAATAAGCTTTATTAATAAATGATTTGTAGCGGGTTATATTCGGGTATCAACCCNACTTATATATTAATTGTAAAAGTGAATTATATAGACTTACTTAATTACCGCATCCACGTGTTCCGCAACTCCCGGATCATTCTCACTAGAATACGTAACTTCCATATTTTACTGTATTCAACTGACACAAATTTATATTTATATCCAGTAAACTCCAGTCGTGCGTCGGAGCGGACACACACACTTTTTTTTTTTTAATTATTTTTCGTCGTTTGTTCGTTAATATTCGAATCTAAAAATTGTTTGTTCGTCTTTTATTTATTTATAATTAATTAAATAAATGATCACCCTTAAGTTGGCTCCCTTTACTAGATATCTTTATTTTTATCGCTCAGATTAATTAATTTTGATCAATTATCATTTGTTCAACGAGTATTGATGATTTTTCGATCATAAAAAATAGTTAAATTCCCAATTATTAATTATTTTATATCTATTAAGCACACCATCACCTCACGCCTACATTGCGCATGTGCCGGATTTTTGGAGTTTACTCCTTTAGAATCGATTTACATATATAGGCCCGGGGTATGAAAATTATGGGGACCAAAATCGTACTAGCATGTCACACGAAATGCGTTATGCGCCTGCGCCGGCAGTCCGCCACAAAGCCTCGTACTGATCGCGCGTTTCTCTCATTATTGTATTTTCATATATTTGTTAGTCGTTTGTTTTGTGTCTCGTTAATTTGTTAATAATCTGTAGTGTATCGTGTTGTCGTAATATAGAACTATTTCTCGTATTGTTTCGTTTAATTTACCGACATCGTTTTGCTTGTGGCCGGACGCCGTTCGGGTTCGATTCCTGAACGTATCAACTGTTAGTGGGTTGATACCCGAATATAACCCGCTACAAATCATTTATTAATAAAGCTTATTAAATATAAACAATTCCTTCTATCAGTGAATGGACAACTTATATATTAATTGTAAAAGTGAATTATATAGACTTACTTAATTACCGCATCCACGTGTTCCGCAACTCCCGGATCATTCTCACTAGAATACGTAACTTCCATATTTTACTGTATTCAACTGACACAAATTTATATTTATATCCAGTAAACTCCAGTCGTGCGTCGGAGCGGACACACACACTTTTTTTTTTTTAAATAAAATCCTGTTTATTTAGTATATATATACTAAGTTTATTCTTCCATATTAAATTAATTTCTACTAAATGTCCCTCCAATATATTTCTTGAACTTATAAATAAATATCATTTCAACAAAAACAGATTTTGTGTGCATTACATTAACGTCGTAACGTACATTTACGTCGTACTGCATTACATTTGAAGTCGTCGTGGCCTAAAGGATAGGATGTCCGGTGCATTCGTACTTAACAATTTTTCACGATTGACTTCCACGGTGAAGGAATAACATCGTGTAATAAAAATCAAACTTTATATTTTGCAAAATTATAATTTGCGTAATTACTGGTGGTAAGACCTCTTGTGAGTCCGCACGGTTGGTACCACCGCCTCGCCTATTACTGCCGTGAAGCAGTAATGCGTTTCGGTTTGAAGGGTGGGGCAGCCGTTGTAACTATACTGAAACCTTAGAACTTATATCTCAAGGTGTGTGGCGTGCTTACGTTGTAGATGTCCACACATCTAGGCAATAAAAAAAAAATACATTTTTTGAACTACGTAATGAATTTAGGAATTATTAATTTTATTATAAAATACAAGTATCATAACTATCTCCTATTGCATGGTAATGCATATCATTTTAACACGAAAGTTGTACTCCTAAAATATTCTTAGAATAATTAGAAATTACTGAATTTTCTAAGCTTGTTATTATTCAATATCATTAAAAATAACTGAAATTATTAAAACCACGCTAGTCGTACTTTAATGACTAATTGGCCGTCTTTACCGACATTTTTGTTGATGAAGTATTGTTGAAGTTTTCAATATTTTTTTGATCTACATAAGAAATTATTAGACAGTATAAACGCACTTGTTAAAAAAAACGCTAGTAAATACGGCCATTGTCAGCTGACTGACAAAACCGGCGTATGCGCAATGTAGGTGTGAGGTGATGGATTGCTTATTAGATATAAAATAATTAATAATTGGGAATTTGATTGTTTTTCTGATCGAACAATCACCAATAGTCGTCGAACAAATGATAGTTGATCAAAATTAATTAATATGAGCGTAAAAAATAAAGATATCTAGTAAAGGAGGCTAACTTAACGGTGATCATTTGTTTAATTAATTATAAATAAATAAAAGACGAAAAAATAATATTTACATTCGAATATGAACGAACAAACGACGAACAAATAATCAAAAATAAAAAAGATCCGAAAATAAAAAAGGGGCTAAGTTCACTGAGCCAGCTTAAGGCATAAAATTAGAATCCTCAAAAAAAAAGTAGATCTGTCTCCTGTCTGAATAAGTGATTACAAATGTTAAAATAAGACATGACTTAAAGGTCTTAGTTACAAGGTCATAAAATTCCTTATAAAAAAAAGTGATTACAAATCTAGAAAATTTATACATTCTCTGTTTAATAAAACAAGAATCAAATGGAACTTTAAAATAAAACTGTTTTAAAGCAAAATTAATGTCTCATAATGTCGAAAATCAATCATGCTGAAGATTTAGTGGAAGTGGTTAAAGATAAAATCAAGTTTGGTGAAAATTTAATAATACAGCTACAACCAATTCAGCATGTTGAAGGTGTTATGAAATTGCAAAGGAAAATTAAGCAAGAAATAGAATTTTTGAAGAGGGTACCAATTGTTCTATTTCCTAATAAACTGAACATTAAACGATTTTATAAAAAATGCAATAAACAGTACATCGTCATTGAAGTAAAAAAATTGGACAAAATACAATTTAATGACTTTTTTTCCTACCAAAGCTGGTAGCCTTGAGAGGCTATTCCAGCGTAACCGTAACTAGTAGGTGAGCTCACGGGGCTCAAACCTGACGACGTTGCTAACACGAACCCTAGCAAGAGCCGTGCTTCGCAGAATCTACCACCGGATCGGAAACGCGACCCACTGAGAAGAACCGGCGAGAAACTCAGTGGGCTGTGTCTGAGAGTTAATTTACTCGTCGAGCCCTTCGTCGCAAGCGACGGGTTCGACGAGAACGGTGACCGGTGCTTGAAGTACCTAGAAGCACCGTTAGTGGATCGGGAGGATCCGAGATGACGTGTAATGACGTCAAGACCCCTTTATGTCGCGCGAGCTGCTTAAGTTTCGAAAAAATACGTCCTCATTGACATTACAGATAAAAAGATAATTTTCCTCTTTCAGTTGGAAAAATCAAAAAACTTCAAGATTGAACAGTTGGCTTGTTCTAACCTGCGTCATCTTGGATCAATGGTGGAGTGCGCGCTTAGACCTTATGTGCTCGCTGTGTGTAAAACATTTCACATAGATAACTGTAATAAACTAATAATAGACATTGTTGGGGATCAAGGCAATACATGGACCAAAGGTAAAAATTTTAAAATCAAAAGGATTTGAAATTTCAATTTGATACAGCATACATGAGATATCCATTTTTACTATTATTTCATAGTAGTGAATGACTTCACGGCTTTCTGGTGTTAAATGCTTACTGGAACCCATAGACAACACAATGTGATTGCAGTTACCCCCTTGATATTTGAGTTCTATTGTTCCAATTGTTTGGTAATGATGGAAATTACAATTTTGCTCCTATTTTTTTACATCATACTTATTTATTGATTTTAGTGATAGCAAGAAATCCAAAATCTTTATCTGCTTTAAGTGCAGGGAAATCTTCATATGGAGCAAGATCTATTTTAGATCAAGCTGATGACTACTTAAAGTGCTCTAGGCTATACCCATGCATGTACCAGCCACCAAAGGTAATAAAATAAAATACAAGTTCACTTATATTAACTTATCATGCAAGCAATGATCTGTGCTACTGGTAGGAATAAGTATGAATTGTTGCTCAGGTCACCTGTGATCTAAGTGTCATGAATGATTTTAAACTGGAAAATATTTATTGTTCTGAAAAGAAAATGATATTACTCAAGTTTAGGAGGCTAGTAAATAAAATTAAAATATCAAAGAATATACTGAAAAATTATAATGTACCAATAGGTGCTGTTGCAATAGGTAATGTTGCAACTAAGCTTCATTAAAAGAAAAGAAATGTTAAAAAAATAAAATGTAACAAGGTACATTGTTATCCATATAGCAAATGA